TTTCGTATCCTTGGTACGTGTACCTACAGTTGCATAAAAAAGCGCAATGGTGACGATAATTATTTCGTCACGAGACCTCTATGGTCGATACGCCGTTAAGAATGCACGCCCTCCCTAACACGCGTGTGACAATTTCCCTACATTTTCAAGCGTAATTTTTAACCGCCGGCGAACAGTTTCGCGTGTTCCTTTCGCTCGAGGGATCGCGGCGTAAGAATCGCGACGTTGTAACGGAGAATTTTCCGAACAGATAGATCCGTAACTTTAAAACCATACTATCGATTCTCACGTACTGTTACACACATTACAGAGTTGAAGTCTGGTTCCACGATAGCGTGACACGTGACGGGAAACAGCCTAAGAACGTAGACACCGGTGTTTAAGAACGATAGTAACACCGTTCGAATTGCGGAGAAAATTGCTTCGATGACACACACACGCGCGAATGTTCTCCGTTTCGAGACAATAATTGAAATTAATTATCTGGGATGATAACCGAAATAGAAATGCTTCGGTAATGGTTTCCTCTTTATCGGAATTACGTGTTATCGTTTCGTTCTATCGTCGAGATCGTAATGGCGGATATATCGATAATTCCATCGCGTTTCTCACTTTCCATGATAGTACACTCGAATCGAAACACTATTTCGCAGGTAACCTCAAGGACATACGTCGACAGCCGCCTGGAAGCAATAACGTTTAGTCTGTGTCAGTAGCGTGCTCAGCTGTCCGTTGCTAATTTCTTATCAAACTTCTTTTCCCTTGAAAATCAATCGATTCATATCGCTCTATTTTCCGGTCACATACTCGCGCCTGAACGCCCAACTTTTTGATGCACTTGTTTCTGTGGCTTTCCTATCAGTCTTTAAATTCAAATAATTCTAAAATAGTAAAATTTATTGTATTTTAGATTTATCGTCGTATATTTAGACGTTTGTATTCATGTGATTTATGTTATGTACAATATGTCTGTTAAAATTTATTTACAAGATATTAATTTTATTTCATATAAAGATAATGGAATATTGTTTTGTTGTGTAGAGATCGATGTGTTTATTCAAAGCAATTTTGTTAGACTTTCTACTGGTCATAAATTAATTATGAAAATTCAAGCAATTAGGTCTGGATTAGGTCCTAGGATCTCGTTAGAAATTATACAATAAAATATGTTAAGACCATCAGTATTTTTATATGGTTTATGTTATGTACAATATGTCTGTTAAAATTTATTTACAAGATACTAATTTTATTTTATACAAAAATAATGGAATATTGTTTTGTTGTGTAGAGATCGATTTATTCAAAGCAATTTTGTTAGACTTTCTATTGGACATGAATTAATTATGAAAATTCAAGCAATTAGGTCTGGATTAGGTCTTAGTATCTCGTTAGAAATTGTACGATAAAATAAATTAAGACTATAGGTATTAGTTTTTGTACGTTAACTAACAAGAATTAATTACGTTTGTATAAGTTCGTGTAAATTGGATGAAAAATGATAAATTGATATTTAGTTTATTTTTCGAACGCTGTGCTCGTCGATAAGTATTGTAATATGTAATAGATGACGTACCGATCGATTGTTACTTGAAAGTCAAATGAAATTGTTTCGAATAAAATATTAATCTTTTCATTATATACATATTGTTCATTTAATATAGATCAATGGAGTGTTTTAAATAATACATTGATTATGTTTAAGGATAATGTTAAAGGTCATGGTCTCAATATCATTAAATGAAATATACATATGTATGATTTCAGATTTGATACTGATACCGTCATACTAATCTGATTATCATAATTTTAAAATAGAAAACATGATTAAATTATAGAAACTGAAATTTTTTAAAGAAATAATAAATTTATTGAGTAAATGCAATTCATGGTTACATAATACTCCTAATTGTTCTAGTTAAAATTGTAACATTAGTTAAAGCTAATGGGGTATTTACTGAATGAATACATGTTACAAATAAATAATACAAATCTAGTATATTGATGCCAATACTGTCATACTAATCTGATTATCATAATTCTAAAATAGAAAACATGATTAAATTATAGAAACTGAAATTTTTAAAATAAATAATAAATCTATTGAGCAAATGCATTTCATGGTTAAATAATTTTCTCTATAGTATTAGTCTATTAGTCTATTATTCTATAGATGTATTCCTAATTTGTTCTAATTAAAATTGTAACATTAATTAAAGTTAATAGGGTGTTTACTAAATGAATACATGTTACAAACAAATAATACAAATCTAGTTTGTCTGATTCTGTACTAGCGCTTGTTTACTGTGACATTCGTTGAATTATTCTGTAACTTATGCTAACTGAACTCTAAAAATTCCCTCATTATCCTTTTGATCCATAAAAAACAAATTTTAGTTCTGTAGCCTAATCAGTAAGAAACTCAGCATTATTTACTACGTGGAATATTAGGTTGAACCGCGAAAATGTTAATTTGTAATCGTCTCGATACCAGTAACTTTGCATGGAAACCAGTTTCCCTGTGGCAAGTGAAAGGCAATTAAAACGACTGAAACGAACGAGCCATGCTTCTTAGCTCGCTTACTTTTTCTCCAGCTGCTTATCAAATTCTACGCTTTATCACGCTTCTTTCTTTACTGCACAGCAGCACGTTTAAGGTCCCCAAAAAATACTGACTTTTCAGGAGTCACAATAAATTTCTCAATCTTAGCTAAATTTTAAAAAACAATATTTAACGCCATTTTTCTCTGCCTTTCAATTTTTAAAATTGATCAAACTTAGTAAAGTTTAGCTTCGTAAAGGTTCATTTAACAATAAAAATGACAGAATTTTATTTGAGAAAACGTTTATTATTTCTGCAAAAATCGACAAAATTGCCATGATTGTTGCCACTAACTAACCAGAAATCTGAATCTGTCGTTTCGACGGGGCTGGCTGTTCCAGCGTTAATGATTCATTGCAGGTGCAAACGACACGCTTCGCACGAGGCGCAGAGGCCGTTCGAGTTTCCTTTTACGCTTCTTAATGATCACTATGCATTTGGACAACGGTCGTTGTTGCGGCTTCGATCGTATTATAATCTCGTTTGTCTCTAGACGATGGTTAAAAGAAAATTTAAGGCGGCGACCTTGCCGTGAAATCTAGCATAATGGTTCCCTGCTGGTGATAGGTGTTGTGGCGTTAGGTTTCTATGGCAGCGAGTGACCTGGTCAGTTCACCACGTGGACAGTAACCGAGCTTTAAATTCGGGTCGAGTTTAGTGATAAGTGCCTGATAGGATCTGCGATCGTGTCAGGTTTTCTTCAGGGAACGAGGCCTCGGTGTCTGTCGGTCGATTATTAACGAAAACCATTCTTTATCCTCAACTTATAACGAGTTCGTTGGAAAACTGGACGCGAAATCGATACCGCCTCGGCTTGGGGGCAACGAAAAAATTTCTACGCATTTTGTTGGTCGCTGGCAGCATTGCTGCATCGTTGCGGATGTGTCTGACACCTGAACGTTCCAGGATCGGTGATTATTATTGGTATGGCTGCGGGGGGTGTTCAGTTACAGTCACGCAGGCGGCTGTGTTTACTCCTATCGCGCGGCAGTAGTTTAAACGCCTTCAGTCAGACAGTAGATACGGATAGTCGTGGAATTACACGATGCAAAAAGGATTCTGGGGGGATTACGAAACTTTCCACTACTTTCGTTACTCGTAATCGAACTATATTCGTAGCAAATTTTTATACAGAATGTTTCAAACGATGCGGACGTATCTTTATAGGCAAATTCGTTTCACGTAAATGATAAAAAAATGTTCGTGCAAATATTTAGTTAGACGACTAAGCGACTGGTGTAACATGAAAACAGTTGTAATTGGAAAATGAGGAAGGAAATATATTCACGTACGAAGTTACGTCAGTAATTTATGAAAGAAATGAGTACAATAAATATTTAGTTGTATTTACTTATTTATCACTAGACTGCGGATGTTTATGCATTTATGGGGAATTTTAATTCTCAAGAAACTACAGAATGCACTTAATATGCAAAAATATAAGAAATACTTAAAGTAAGATACGAATTATTATATTTAAGGGTTGAGACAATCATCTACAAAGCTCCCATTTTATTAATTCTATTAATAAAAATATGAAATATGAAAAAGGAATATTAGAGAACACAAATAATCGATTTATAAACTTACATACTATTTGTATTAATATGCTTCTATAAACTACAGCACATTCAATATTAAAATGGGGTTACTTTTCAGTAATTTTGAAACCATATACATACTTCATGCTAAATGCACTTTATTTCACTATAATTAAGAACAATATTATTTAATAATGAACACGATTTCATTTGGTTGTTTTATTCACGAATTTTAAAATTGATGTTACTTTTAAAGATGTCGATATTCCTCAAATTTCTCAGATTTTATAAGGTATATTAGTAGTATAATTGGCTTGTTATAAAATCTCATAAATTGCGCTGTCGACAGTATTTTCATTTTTTAATAAAATTCTAAAACAATAGGAAAAGTATTTTTAATCCAATATTGAGAGTAAATGTTTGCTAAATGCACTTTATTTTTCTGTAATTAAGAACTATATTATTTAATAATGAACACGATTTTATTTGGTTATTTTATTTATGAATCTTAAAATTGATGAAGCTGTCGATATTCTTCAAATTTCCTACATATTGTAAGGTATATTAGTGATGTTTTAAATTGGCTTGTTCTAAAATCTCATAAATTCCACTGTCGACCATAGTTTCTATTTAATAAAATTATAAAACGTTATGAATATATTTAACCGAATGTTGAGAGTAAAGGTTTGCGCTGGTGAATGAAGTGCATGCTCGATATCTTTTTTCCAAGCACTGACCCACTTCAGTGAGGGTAGAGGTACCGGACATTCTCTTCGGCGCGATGAATTCGATCCGCCGAGAGGGCGAAAGATGCTTCCACGCGAGGTCGGACTAGTTGCGAACCGGTGCCAGAGACGGGCATGGACACTAAGACTCCGCCGATCCCGTTGAAGGTCCAGGAGAAGCCTAAACCGAAGCAGCAAGAAACCGTCGCCGATGTGTCCCTGCCCCCGCTGACACCATACAGAAATCATCGCCAGAAACAGAGAACGCCTGGGATCCAATGGTCGCGTGATGCACCCAGCGCTATACGGTATCAGGATCATCAGAAAAAAAGGCCTTACAGGTACACTAGCCCCTCGATCGATATGCATTTCTTCGGGCGTTGTTTAGAGCAGGTGCTTTACTTATGCTCGCGAGTAGACGAATTTTAACAAACGTGCACGAAGCTTCTGACAAATTCGAACCAACGCGTTCGTTGCAACGGTTGAAACGGATATGGAACTTTTTCTATGGGTTCCGTTTAAACTGTTGCAACGAAATTTTTATTATTTACACATAGATTAGAACAAATGAATAGAAATTCTCGTGTAACGAGAATGGAATCACTTTTACATCCATGCACGTTGAAAGTGTCGAGTTTCTTGTTATTATATTGATGATGTTATATTTGAACTGTTATTTACGACGTTCTATAAGTGTGAAGTATCGTTTACGTTATGAATATTTTCCTAACAAAAGTTTTCAAATCTGTTTCATTAAAAAAGTTGTACAATTTATGAATACATATTGATAATTAAAAATGGTATTTGATCGTTCGTTTGAAGCTTCTATAATACGCACTTGTACAAACTGACCTCTATAACTCGAAATTTATGTTTTTAATTGTTCTTGACGAAATTTGAAAAATAGGAAAATATATGTTATTTAAATTAAGCAATTCTCAGCTAGCAAAAACGTACGGCAAAATAAATATTTATAAAGTACTCACTAACTACAGTAGCACTTCTTATGATTTCGAGAAATTATTAGATCATATTATTAGTCGTAAAAAATAAAATATTTCTAATATATTCAACATTCATTCTACCTCTGTTGATTTTCTAAAATTGAACTAAATATATATTTCATCCACTTTGAGGGTAGTTTTCATCCCTCGAACATAAATCTAAGTCGATAAAAAAATACATCATACTAAATAGGACTTAATATTTAGATCATATTATTAGTCATGAAAAATGAGATATTTCTCATATTCAACATTCTTTCTACCTCCGTTGATTTTCTAAAATTGAACTAAATATATATTTCATCCACTTTGAGGGTAGTTTTCATCCCTCGAACATAAATCTAAGTCGATAAAAAAATACATCCTACTAAATAGGATTTAATATTTAGATCATATTATTACTCATGAAAAATGAGATTATTCTTATATTCAACATTTTTCTCCATTGATTTTCATAAAATTGAACTAAATATACAGGGTGTTCAGCCACCCCTGAGAAAAATTTTAATAGGAGATTCCAGAGACCAAAATAAGACAAAAATCAAGAATACCAATTTGTTGATTGAGGCTTCATTAAAAAGTTATTAACGTTTAAAGTTCCGCATGTAGAACCACTATTACGTGTATGCAGCTGTTGGCAGATTGCTGTTCCACAGTCCAACTTTTAAACGACGCCTCAATCAACAAATCGCTATTCTTGATTTTCGTTTTATTTTAGCCTCTAGAATGTCCCATTAAATTTTTTTAATGTTTGGCCAAACACGAACACGAATATCAGTCGTTAAAAAAATGCATCGTACATCGAGTGACATTATCCTGTCGCTTAATCGACAACGTTCTCGCGGCGAACGAACGTCAAATAGAATCGAAGCGACGTTCGGAGAATCCTATTCTCGGATGCAAAAGGCTGCTTAACTCTTACAGAGTGCTGCAAATCGGCGCTACGCCCTTGATGCACGCTTGCCAACAGGGTGACAGAGCAAGAGTCCTGAGACTGTTAAAAGAGCAGGAGGAGACGATCGGCTACAGAGATCGCACTTTGAGGAACACTTTGCATTACTGCATGGACGCTGGAACCGGAGGTGCCGTCGCCGCGGCGGCACCGGAACTCGTGAACGCGCCCGACGCCGAGGGGCACACGCCTCTTCATTTGGCAGTCATCGCGGGGGACACACAATTGGTGGCTGTTTTGCTAGCGAACGGTGCCGACGTGAACGCCAAAGACTTGGAGGGACACAGCGTTCTTCACTGGGCTACCGGTACCATTTCTTAAATATCTTGCGTTCGGTGTCCATTTAACACCTTCACTGCCAGATCAAGACCATATAATATTCTACAAAAGTAAAATTTTGATTTTAGATCATTGTAACCTTGTTAAAATTCATAAACTCCATACAAAATTTCCCTCAACATCTTAACTCGAGAATTAATTTTTCTAGTATCACAATGGTATACTGTCATCCATATGTGGCTGACGTGGCAGTGAAAGTGTTAAGTCTATGTTAACTCTATGTGAAATGCGTTTTTTTTTACTTTCGTGAGAAATTTTTTGAAAATAAACTATAACAGCTGTTGCAGTAAAATTTACAAGGTCTATTTATACATGTGTTGGTGACATTTTTAAATTTTTTTAGATGAAAGAAGATTAAAATTGATGACATTGCATACTCTCAAACATAATTTTTAAAAAAGATTGTCTCAAAATAGTGTTTATAATTCCACCCATTTTGTGTATTTGAAATGAAGAAGCCTGAAATATTCTTATTTAGTGTGAGTTTGGTTATCCCTGATACTAAAACAAAAGAAAAAAGTTGATAATTAAAAAAATGGTAATACTTTCAAGTTTGATTATCAATTTGTTCATGTTCTTTTTTTAAAATTTTGGGCCTAAAGAAATGGAAAGGACTTTTGAGTCGATTTTAATACGAGCTATAGTTATACATATACTGAAAGTGCATCTAAAATTTTGAGCCAATTGGTCAAGTAGATTTTGAGATATCGTGGACATCGTTCTGGTAAACATAGTTTCGACTTTTTTAACGAACTTTTAAAGCTTTGTATCTTTAAACAGCCATAACTTTGTTAATTTGAGAAGTTACGTATAATTCTCAAATTAAATGTCTTCCTTCAGTGTCTATAGCCAGAATAAGTGCTTGTTTCCTTTCCTAGCTCACAACTTGTCTCATTTTTTTGGGCCTCTTACCCCTAAGAGTGTGAAATATTTACATTTAATAGCACCTTTCAAAAAAAAGAATTTTTTAGTAGATTAAGCATTATTATATGGGAATAATAACTATATTATTGATACAGGAACTGGGGGTACTATAGACATAGTCAAATTCATTCTTAAAAATAAATAAAAACTAATAGGAGTATTTTTGTTTACACATATTGCATATCTATTGCGAGAAGAAATATGGTAGCATGTAACTCATATGTGCCACACAGTGGAGTTAATCAGTATTTAAGAACACAATACACAAAATCAATTTTTTGGAAAATAAAGTGCTGCAAAGAAATTATTATTTCTCATCGCCAGAAAACTTACCAAAGTTATTTTGTACGCAATTATATTTGAAAATATCATCTATCACTATAATTTTCTATATCCTTCTGAATATTGTTGCTAAATTAATCCCAATACCATAGCAAGCATACAATTAATAATAATATATTTTTACCCATTTTGACCGTTTATATTGAGATTATTATTCTCTGTTATAAAAAGTACATCATCGTTAAATTTTGAGCAGAAAATAAAATTGGACAATTTAACTGATACGACGAAATACTTATACCATAACCATTTACACTATTCAGGTAGCCAAAAGTTAGAAAGAAATGTAAAATAATACATCACAACATAAATACATTATTTTTACAATAATATAGTCGCCGTAATTTCGAGTGTTAAGTGGGTGTACCTAGGTTTGTATTGTACAATTACCGCCATAGCATTCAATGTCTAATATTCAGTTTGCAACAAGGCGACCGGGTGGTAATTTTACGGTCAGAGGTGATGGCTGATCGCGATCGAGATTGTTAGAGCATTATTCAAGTTCGTGAAAAATAGCCGTAAATAGTCGGTTCAATGCAAATCGAGTTGGTTTTTTTTTTTATTGCGGAAAGGTCAAAACCTACGCGACCGCGCATTAACGATTCCTTAGAAGCTGCGGAAACTGTGAATTACCGAGCGTATCTTTTCTGCCAATCTCCGACAGAGCGAGGGTGGATTGGTCAAGTAAGGTTACTGGGTCAGTTTCGATGACGTTATTCCGGTCTGCCAAGGAACACGCGAGGTCCAGGCCGAGATAACCCACGAGATTGACCATAGTCGTCCTTGATGTATTCAAATGACCACGGATTTATTGCTCGACACCGCAATTGCCTACTCTTACATTCGTTCGTCCGTTTCACGGTGGAGAAAAGCTCCTATCGACAGATTCATCTGTATAATTCACAAACTCGATCGTTACTTTGACGCTTGTAAAATTAATTCTTCATCGTGTATCGAATCATGATAATTAAAGATAATCTTAGAAGTCAGTTCTCTGAGGTATCAAACATTTTGTGTAAGTTACACAGTGGTAATCCATGTGTCACTTTACAAATATACACAATAGGTGTCTTTATACTTCACTATGCACCTCCATACCAGTAATTCCAAATTATATAATCTCCCTCCCCTTTCAATGAATCACACCATGATACGATTAAATGATCAATTATTCCTACTGATGCGTTAACGACAAACATTGGTGGCTTGATTGCGCAATAGCGTGCAGATTTTCTTCGATCAAACGATTCGTTTACAAACGACGAAGAAAAAAAGAATATTTATTCATAAAAAGGCAACCGGTTATCTTAATCTAGCATCTGTGCAAAAAATGACACTGAGAATTATTTCGTTCAATAGCACTATGACGATCTGCTATTTCTGCATTCGCATACCTAGAAAATAGATTGACGCGATTCATGGAACATTCAGAAAGTGATTGCAAACTGTCAGTGAAGTCACAGATGTATGTTTTCTATTATTCTGTCAGAATAATTAAACGTGTGAGGGTTGAACGAAACCAAAGGCCGATTCGGATCACAAAATATTAATAATTAGCATAACAATGCAACGTCTAAGGCGTTACACCAGGTCGATGGTATTTATCCTGAGAGCTACCGTGCATAAAAATAGTTACAAGGAGAGGGCAAGGCCTTCGGGTTACCGATTTTATTCAAACTTTGCACACTTGTTGTTCGAGAACTGCTTACCCTACAACGACTGTTTGTTTACGCTGTTTTTACAAGTAACATTGTTGTACGGAATAATAATTATAAATTTTCTATTTTTTCTTCAATTGCGAGGTAAATGGTTCCCCTAATGCTTCCTTTAATGTTTTCAGCTACTGTGAGTGGAGAATTTCACCTGATCACCAATATTAAATTTTTATATACGTTATATATATTTTAATGAATACAAAGACACTTTATTTAAAAGTTAATTAACATTCTTACATTTCATTATTCTTTATCTATATTAACCCTTTGTACTTCGAATTATATTTCAATTTTGTTACCAGCAGCTCCAAACGTTTTCAAGTGTTTTATTTGAAATTTACGTTAACTAAAACATAGGGCAATTTAACAAACAAATTCAATTAAACATCTGTTTTTTTGTTGTATTTTGTAATTCTCAAGTGTATGATATCTCTTTGAATTTGAAAAAAATGTCTTGAACTTGGGCCTACTGAGTTGGGGTCTCTTACTTCACCATTACTCCATGGTGGTAATCGACAGTTGACGAATTAAAATTATATTTCTAGATAATAATGACACTTTAATCATTAATATTTCAAAAATTATTAGACATCTGTTATATATTCTTAAACCAGCTAAATCTACGCCTTGCCTTTGCCTTGTTAGTGTCGACACGTAGCAATTTGAGGGAAAGATTTTTTTAAACATTCGACATGGCGTAACCCTTTAAGTATGCTCGAGTGTACCTACGTTTTTGCGTGTGTTTAGTATGCGGAGAAGCGGAGTGTGTTCGGCTGGTGTTAGCAGCGGGTGCACGACCCTCGACGCCTGATCTCCGCGGGGGATCTCCTCTTCACTATGCCGCTCAATGTTGCGGCGCGGCCGCAACTGCCGAGCTAGCTGTGCCCAAGAAGGTTGGCTTAAAAGTTCTCCAAACCCTCTTGGAATTCGGCGCCGATGTAAACGCGAAAGACGAGGACGGAAGACAGCCAATTCTATGGGCAGCAAGTGCTGGCAGCGTTGAAGCTGTCTTGGCATTGGCCAGGTACACTTCCATCTTGTTTAACCCTTAAATGGACTATTGGGGCCCCTACGAGCCCTCCCACAAGTTTAAACTAATAACCTCCATTAACTCATTATTTTTTAAACACTTTAAAGGAAAGTTTATTTCCATTTACTAATTTGGTAAAAATCAACATTATTTAAAATAATTAAATTGTTGGACTCTCAGTAGTGTCTTCATCACAGAGTTCTAATGAATTGAATTGACTATGCTTGACATTAGTCGTAAATTAATCTCACCTACTTTAGTTTTCAAATTTTTAATACCTTCATGTATTTCTAAACTTATTGCATAAAAGAATTGGTATTTTAAAGAATCTATTGCATGGTAAGTGGAAGAGAAAGATGACTTTATGAATTCACATGAGCCCAACAACTAAACTAAGATTGAGAGTCCACTTAAGGGTTAAATTACAAGATAACGTATGGTAACATTCCCTTGGGCGTTAACGAACATCGAATAATTATCAAAACACCCTATATATTCTACAATATCAATAAAGAAAGAATACTGTTCAAAAAGTTTGCTCTGACGTAGCATTATTCATGAAGAATAACGTAAACATTGTATAATAAAATACTTGAATAAATAGGCTAATAATCGAAAATATTTTTTCATCGATACAAGCATTATAAAAGAATTAAATTTCATGTATTTTCATCGATCAGAAGCTTCCATGCGCCGTAATGTTTAGAAACATGATAGAGATCGAAAGAATTGCTCATTCTAAAGCAGTAATTAAAATACAGAGCAGGTGGTTCAGCTGCTGCAGGGGCTGCAGACAAAGATGGCCTCACGGCTCTCCATTGTGCTGCGTCCAGAGGACACGCCAGATGCGTGGAGGCTTTGGTGAATCTTTGCGGTGCTCATCCTGACCACGTGGACGACAATGGATGCTCGGCTCTGCATTATGCAGCCACCCTTGGCCACGCTGACGCCACAGCTTTGATTCTAAAACTAGGAGCTGATCCCAATCGGCAGGATCGAAAGGGTAGAACGTAAATATCGAAGTCATTGCTGTTTATATTGGCTAAAATACTTGTTTTCAAATTGAGAGAAAATATTTAAAACTTTCTATATTATATTGCATAGAATGAAGGTATGAAGGTATTTTACTTTCTAAAATTTATATAAAAAAATAATTTTTTTGTTATTTACATATATATTTCCATGGATCAATCGATACTCAAACTGAACAAGAAATAACTGAATTTGTGAGACTATTTATGTTGTTATAAGAAAACATCATGAATATGTCATATTTATTCTCGATGACATTTACAGATTTATTTTATTTCGTTGCTATTCGGTCACATTATGCAATAGAGGGTTAAGTATTAAAAAATGAGGTTGAAATTAAATATTATTCGTTAAGAATTAACAATTACTAATAAAACAACATGAATTTCCCGACCACTCGTTTAAGACTTCTTCAGACGTGGAAAATATTTTAAAACCCATCGAAAATAAAATCAATTCAATATCCTTCTTAACAAACGTGTAAAACTAAATGAATCAATGTCTCTTTTTCCCGAAAAAAGACAGGTTTAAAAAACATTTTTTGTTAATTTAAGATATACATAACACTTTACATACATAGACAATTAATTTAATTTTTCATATATAATTAAAAGATATTGTATTTATTTTATTTTATATATTTTTTAAAATAGTTTTCACATCTGAAGAAGACCTAAAAAATGGTGAAAATCGTTTATATTGTACTATTAATAATTGTTAATTGTCAATGAATAATACAAATTACTTCTACCGACTGTCAAAGTATTGTTTTAGCTTTAACGGACGTTCGTGACAAGAAATTAAATTTTTATTTCCCGTACGCTTGTATCTATTATCAAAGGTGCATGCTGCGTGTATGTGAAAATTGATTTTAACGTTTCGCTAGCGAACACGCTAGATACCAAAGTTCTTAGAGTTCAATGACACTGATAATACTCGATACGTGTGTACTAGAGGCTAAAGACAGACCATCAGTATCATTATGTTCTCGGTATAGCATAAGCGTTGTACTTTCATACTGAAACTGGGAAAATGGAATTCCTAATAGGGTACGATTATAGTGGAACTAAAGAGTTTATAGTTGAGCATCGCGAAAGACAGTGTATAACAACGGCGCAGCTAGAAATAAAAGTTCTTCAGCCAGCCTTATAGCTCTCTTCTCAACTCTCTATCCTCGTTGCTCCACTATAACCACGTACGTAGTGTATCTTACCTAATAATTAAAAACAATATAACATTTAAAGTTCCGTGTATTCTTAGAACCTATTTTACAGAGTACTTAGGAAACAACTCTAAGTTTACAGCCATAGACCATTATTGACCAACCAATTATTGAATAACCAATGACAAATTAAAGCCATCACGAAATTGAAGATTCAAGTCTATCCACATGGATCCCCTTAAAATTTGATGCACAGTTCTTTTCAATATTTTGTTCTACTTTGAAGGAGCGTATCTCATGCTATAAATAGACATTTATGGGAAATTGTAATTCTCAAAAAACTATGTAATGCACTTAACATGCAAAAATGTAAGGTTTAGGGGTTGAGATAACCATTTACAAAGCTCCCATTTCATCAATTCTATTAATAAAAACATGAATTTCTCTAAAGATCCACAGTCCAGTTCTAAGACACGCGTGATTTGGAAGTTAAACACATTTATCGAATTAGATATTCCAGCCTAAGGAGGGCCATACAGTTTAATCCCAAAATAGAAGAATTTTTAAGTACACTCAAGTTATAGGAGGTATGACACGTTTCAGACCAGCACTTTGCGCTGCAGCCAAAGGTCAATTGGAGACCCTGAAGATCTTAGCACAACATGGCGGTTCTCTTTACGCGAGGACTGTTCGCGGTACCGGCGTCGCTCACGAGGCGGTGGCTTCCGGCAGAATCGAGCTGATAAAATGGCTGGCGAAGAAACGTCCAGGCACGTTGGACGTCGCCACCCACGACGGAAAGACACCTTTGCACGTGGCGGCTTTGCATGGACACTTGGATGTCTGCAAGGCCCTTTTAGACAACGGTGCCAGGATCAATGCCGTGCTACGAACCAGCAAAGGCAACCTGATGACTGCCTTGGACGCAGCGCTTTACAGAGGGCACAGGGACTGTGCAAAGTTAATTCAAATGCACGGTGGCACCACGGCCCACCAACTCAAGATGCAGAGAACTGTACCGAATAAAGGTCAGGTTAGGTATATTTTCACAGATATTTTTAAGATATAAAGTTTCTGTGCCACGGTTGTTGCAGATGTAGTCGTAGCAAAGATTTGAATATGCCGCCTTTGAACTGTTCACCATTTATGCAATGTTTACACATTTCTAAACGATCCTTCATCAGACCAATATTTACAATTATTCACGATATAAAATTACTTAAAATTGTTTGAAAGTTTAGAGTCTATAGTTCAGATTCCTATAAGGTGATATCCTTTGCAAGGGTTTAAGATAAAATTTACTTGGTTATTTACGAATAATTGGATAATTCGTGAAACTTGCATGGAATTTTTTACGATCGAGCGTTGATACTTTCGTTGGATTTTTAATTTGAACATGAATGCCTCAGTGTTCGCGGCGAGAATGCAAATGAGACACGTCGACAGCAGCACCGACACGGAGAGCAGTCCTCGTAGACGAGGTCGTGGTTTCAAACTGCCAGAACTCTACTACGAGGAACAGTGGATCGAGAAAAGAACGCGACGTCGGGGAAATTTGAAAAAACTGGTTCGCCAGGATAGTCGAAGTTTCAGCGAAGAAGAAGTCAGATTGTCGAAGACATCTTTGAAGAAAGATCATCAGAGACGAGCACGCAGTGAATCAGCAAGGTAACATGTTTCCTAATTTGTACATCGTTGTCTCATTTAAAATTGATCGTATCTTAATTTTCGACGAAACAAGAATGCTTTGCCCGTAAAAGTTGCCTGGTTTCGTGTTCGATACAGAATGAGTCATGAAATATGCAGGATACCTCATATAAGACTGGAATTTAAAACACCCCATTATTTTTAATGATAAAGAAGAATTTCTGAAGAAAGACACGCGGAAGCAATTATGTATTTTATTTATTGCCAATCGACCAAATTGGACGATTCCGTTCAACGGTGTGTTTTTCAGAAATATTTTAGATTTTAAATCTAAAATTGAAAATTTGCAAACGAATATTTATCCTTTTTACTGTAATTATCACGTTATTTTAGGTACGATGAGGATGACACGGACCGGAAGTTAAGAAGAAAGAGAAGCAAGAAAAGGTCAACTAGATCTAAACAGAATTCCAGCGAATCCTCGATAGATTCGGACAGCTACGAACGAGTCGAAGATTCGTCGAGGCAAAAATCTGAAACGCATAGAGAGGAGAGTAAAGTAGACAAGGGCAATGAAACGGAGGAGAAGGAGGACTCGAGAAAGGACGACGAGGACGACGAAAGCGTGAGCGACGACAGCCTGGAAATGGTGGTGGTGAAAAGATCCGTGGAAAAGAAATGCGAGAAGGTGGTGTCTGGGAGGAGATCGAAGACGCCCAGAGAGAGCTCGAAAGAGACAAAATTTACAAAGACGCACAAAAGCACTAGAAGAAAATTGAAATCCAGCAGATCGAAATCTTCCAACAATGGCGACAGTATGCCGGATCGAACGCAATCCTCGGACAAAGGACAGGAGTTCAAGGAGTCTGAGTTCTGCGAACGAGAGACCCCGAGGACCTCGATCGACGAGGACAAGGATAGCCCAGGGAAAATAATCGAAACTCGATATCGTAAGGATATAACCGACAGCACAAGCCAGGAAACCGTCGAACGCGTCATCGTGACAGCCATGGTTCACAAGGACCAACCTCCGGACACGCCGAAATCGGTGTTGGAAAGCACGAAAGAAGTGACGTTCGACGACAGGTTAAGGACTGAAGTAATAGAGACGGAAGTGGTGACCAGGGATGATGGATCTAGCGCGAGCAAAGTGGACGATATCGTTGAACAGAGTGACGAATCGCGCAGCAATCTTGTAACGAAAGCAGCCAGTTTGAAGAAAGACGTGGAAGAAATGAGGCAACAAGTCACGCAGGAAAGGACTCAACGCGAGGAGGATAGAAGAAGGAGCCAAGGTGACGAGAACACCAGGCAAAGTGAAAAAGATACGGGTGATGATCAAGGTAAAGAAGATACGAGGACAGACGAGAGTGGGAAAGATAAGACATCTTCCACGGAAGAGACAGTAAGGAAGAGACAGCAAGGAATAGATGAAACAGGTAAGACTTTAAACGTAACAGAGCTAGAAAAAATCAACATGGCTGAAACATGTCGAAAAAGTAGAATCGGAGGCTCATCTTAATTCGAATAGGATATTAATACCATGATAAATGTTTTCGTTCATTTACAAAATAAAGAAAGTACAACATGTAACTTAATCTTGCTAAAATGATACAAATTAAACACCTGTGGAAGTCGTACATATACAGGGTGTTTGGCCACATCTGAGAAAAATTTTAATGTGAGATTTTAGAGGCCAAAATAAGACGAAAATCAAGAGTTTCAATTTGTTGATTGAGGCTTCCTTAAAAAGTTATTAACGTTTAAAGTTCCATTCCGATTGGAAAATTTTTCGGCGAAAAAAAAAATTTCAAATCATTCTGGAAAAATTATTTTCGGTTCCAGAGATCAATTACAACAATGTTAGGTTAATAGACATACCCCCGAAATCCTACGCATTTTCCAGACAAAAATTGGAGAAGTTGTGAAATTTTTCAACAAAATTAAAACATTTCAAATCGTTTAAAAAAAATTATTCTCCGTTGCAGGGGTCAATTACAATTATTTTTGGTCAATAGACATATCCTCGAAATCTTGTGCACTTTCGAGAAAAAAATTCGAGTAGCTACTGAAATTTTTCGGCGAAATTGAAAAATTTAAAATCGTTCTAAAAAAATTATTTTTGATTGCAGGGGTCAATTACAATCATTTTTGGTGAATACACATACCCCCGAAATCCTGCACATTTTCGAGAAAAAAATTCTTTACCGAAAATACAATGTCTGACCAGAAATGGTGATCCCCTGCATGCGTATATTTAAAAAACCATAACTTCTGAACGGATTGGAGGATTTTAATGTTTCAAAATGTAAACAATGCGTATTAATGGGGCTCTAGAACCCCCAAAAAATGGGTCGAAAAAATACATTATTAATAACTTTAATCAACAAATTGCTATTCTTGTTTTTGTCTTATTTTGGCCTCTATGATCTCGCATTAAATGTAAGGCTGTAACAAAACAACAATTACACCGGACTACGAGAAAATACAAAGATATAAGATCAACTACGACACATTTGGTTCTAATTTTGCTGGAAATGTCTAGTCGTTTCCTACATTATATACAAGTCTAACGATCCAAGAAATCTCATTGTCAATTTTCTGTAGAGTCCTCTTTCCAGGCAGGTTAGACGCACACGCTACAACCGAGTCGGAAGCTTCCACGCTGGATTCCCAGAAAGAATCTCAACGACTACAGAATCAGGCAGAAGACGACTCCAAGTCCGAAGGAACGACCTCGAAAGCTGACGAGAGCCTCGATAAATCTCACGACGATAAGACGAACGCGTCCGAACGCACGTCCAAAGAAGAATACGAGGACTCGGAGGAAAGGAGTAAATCCGACAGTTCGAAAAAAGAAATTACCACGTCCAGAACTGCGGAAGACACTCCGCCGTCGGAGGGGGAGGAAGACAAAAGACAAACACCAGAAGAGACCGAAAGTAAATCGAAAACTGAACCAGGTACGGTCAGGAGGAAACCGTCGTTCGACGAAAGAAAGCCAAAAACGAGGCAATCGAGCGGAAGTGCCAGCCCCTCGAAGAGCAACAGTGGTCGTAAGAGGAGGGAATTCAGTAAGAAACGGGAGTCTTCCACGAAGAAGGTGTTGACGAAACCGACGTCGGAGAAAACGGATAAAGATGGCGCGGAAGAGTCGTCGAAGTCGCCGGAAACCGATAAGGAAGCCGCGAAAAGTCCAGAGAAAGATGGTGGAAACAAATTGGAGAGTTCGAGCAAAGAGTCGCCGGACGACAAGGATCAAGCGGATTCCGCTCGCGGAAAGTCCGTGGAATTTTCGTCCGCGTCCAGGGACTCCGCGTTGATGGAAGACGACGACAGGTCGCTGAGCATCGATACACCGGTTGCCACGAAGAGGAAGCTATCTGGCGAAGAGGAGGTCGTTCGGGACTCGTCGCCGGCGAAGTCTAACTTGGACGATCAGACGATCGAGACCGAGGACGCGAAGAAGATCAGAAAACGCTCGATCGAGGACGCGTTGACGGCAGGTGAGTATCGAACACTTTAACCCTTTTTTAACCCTTTGCACACCAAGAGTATTAATATGGACAACTAGCAATATCAATTGCAATTTTGTGATGTGACTTCTAAAAATGAAAAATATTCTTCTTCTCATAAAACTGTATAAATACCTATAATTTAAATTTTATTCCTGTATTTCCTGAACTCAATTTGTGTTATCATAAATGAAAGTTGAATCGAACCATGGTGCGTATTAGGTATGTTTGTCGCCATAGCGGCGCCAGCGGAGTGCAAAGGGTTAAAAGAGCGTGCTTTCAGAAGAAGAGAGCTTTCGATACATCGACGAGAGTTCCTCGAGTTCCCCCAAGTCGGCCCAGACGAGACGATCGAGGCCTTCGACGGGGAAGGCTAGGAACAGCGGAAGATCGTCGTCGCGAAAGAAGACTTTGTTCGAGAGTTCGGAGGAACGTTCTCCGGATAGGAGCGCCATAGTCGCGGTCATCGAGAGTCCGGAGTGGGACGAGGAGGACGAAGAGATCGAGAAAGAAATCAGAGATGCGATCGGGGAGGACGAGGAGCACGAGACCGAGCCAGAAGAGGACAACGAAATCGGAGTAGTGAGAGTGTTGCCGAGCACCAGCGAGGAAGAAACGTCTCGTGTGGGTCACGATGTCCGTAGAAGTTCAGTGTCGGACTCGTTACCTCAAGTAAGGAATTTTTTTAATTAGATTTCATGTGAAATGTACAAACTGGAGTGGACAGATGGTTCGTGATGTAAAGAAGGTTCTTATAGAGACTTTTGGGTCACCAATTGGAATGAAAGTTTCTTTATAAAAATGTATCATTATAGGGTCAAAAATAGAATATTTTTCGGGTTATTAATGTTTAAGAACTTTGTCGACTGCAAAATCTTAAGGCGGTATTCTAGTGTGAACCTTTGAAAAACTCGATTTCTTGTTATTAGCATTGTCTTAAAGAATATAATTTACTAACTACGTTGAAGTTATTTAATTTTCATCTGATACAAGGTAAGCTCCTTGAAAATGAATTTTGTTTCGAGTCGATACCATAGTTAATTCCGGAGAAAACAATTATTTACGAAAAATGGCATAATCATTTATTCAAAAATCCTGTATACAAATTTAAATTCATTTTCAATTAAATAAACAATTTATAATCCAGTTTTATCGCACACCAGTCGCATAATCAATGTTGCTGAAACTTCTTTGGGTGCATAGAGTCAGAACAAATTTCAAAATAAACATAGAAGACAGCATAAATTATAGTAGCTAGTATAGTCACTGGATAGAGGATGAAATGCCCTTTAAAATGAGCGTTCGAACAAGTCGATAGCTTTATTAGTTCCGGAGATATGAGGATTTTAGTTTCAAGTCGATAGTTTCGGAGATACGAGGATCCGAAGCGTTTGTTTACGTTTCATTCGGATCAATGAACTCGCGCGCGCGACAGTAGTAAACAGTGCGTAGTAAATTCTTGGAATTACTACGACTTCCTGGTCACGTGACTGTCTCGACTCACGCGCGAGAGAGAGGTCCAACGCGACGCGTCAGACGGAGACAGAGATAGTCAAATTGAGAAAAATACCCTTTTACATAAATTACGATATCTCGAAAACATAAAGTCGGATCGACAAAAACCAAAAACCATTTTAAAGGGGAGGCTTTGCCGCCTCTAACGGTGGCTCAAAAATGGATAAGGCACTAGTAGTTTCGGAACTGCACGCGTCCAAAGTTTTAGTATTTTTAATGCGCGTTAATAGCCTTTTCTAGGGCAGAGAGCGGAATTTTAAAAATTGTCTTTTACATAAATTACGATATCTCCAAAACGGAAAGTCGGATCGACAAAAACCAAAAACCATTTTAAAGGAGAAGCTTTGCCACTTCTATCAGTGACCCAATTATCAATAAAACTATAGTAATTTCTAACCTACACGCGTGTAAAGTTTAACTATTTTTAATACGCATTGCTACTGTTCTAAGACAGTAGAAACTGAAGATTCTCTTCTTTTATCTTTGCTATATATTTCCTATTTACATCAGAAGCTAACCAGAATTTGATACCAAATTTTTTTCAGTATTTTTCAAAAAAATATAAATCGTTCAACCGGTTAGATAACCAGTCGTGGTAGGCAAGACAGACTACATATTTTTCTCAGAAAACAAAATAAGAATAGAAGTGAATATTGAAAAATTATAATAAGAAAAATCGTGAAGTTAAATGGGGCTAAAATAACATTGTATGTTAAAAATTCTAAACGAAATTTTAAAAACGGTTATTTAACCAGTAGGTTTAGTGTTAAAAGCGAATTTCAACTCTTTTTCGCCCAAAAAATTTTAAAATGTCTCTGAAACATGTAGAAATAAACCTTGTAAATTTTACTGTAAACGGTGCTATAGTTTATTCACAAAAAATTCCATAAGGTCTAAAAAAATGCACTTTACAGTAAAATACCCCCTATTTTACGCAGGTGCAGCCTACTCGTACTCGTTTGACGCGGATCCAAAGTCCTCAGGAGAGTAGAACGAACCGATTGCAAGGGAAACAGCGCCGTGACAGCGGCGGCAGAGACAGTGGTATCGAACCCAGTCCAAGAGTATCGAGGATACCAAGAAGAAGGATCATGAAATGTTGCCCCAACACTGAGAAACAACAGACTCTTAACATGGACACCATAACTAGAGACGTACAGATCAGCTTACGACGATATCATCTGGAGAGAAAGATTTTTTTTCAATTGATGGAACTGAAGAGATTGCAGATACGTCATGGCAGAGCGAACGAGCAAGTTCTGGTGAAGAGACAGGTAGTGACTATCGTCCATTTTCTCGTGTATTTAATTATTAACACTTAACGTTTAACGCTTCGTGGTAATATCAGAACAATATTTCCCAAGGAGACAATTTTAAATATTCTGGGGGCAAATAAAAATTATGTTGCACTCGTGATCTTTACTAACACGTACAAACGTACTTAATTGTTTTAATTCTTGATCCAAAGAAAATTGGGAAACATTGAATCAGAGTTAACACCGTAGTTATATTAATATTTAACATTATTTTATTAAAATGTATTTTTCGCAGGTGGACGCTTTCCATAAAGCTGGAATGGCTGGACCCACCCTGGGCGTAGCAAAATACGATCAACCCTTAACGTTCAGGTTATTATTTTTCAATTTTATACCCTGAATGTGATATTTTAGGGAAGATAGAATTTAAATTTTTTAGAGAAGAATTCTTTCAAAAGATAACCCAAATTATTCAGACAAAAATTGTACGATATGAATATTAACCCTTTGCACTCCGAATTATATTTGAATTTTGTTACCAGCAGCTTCCAACGCTTTTAAGTGTTTTATTTGAAATTTACGTTAGCTAAAAAGTAGGGCAAATTTAAACAAATTCAATTAAATATCTGTTTTATTTACATTATTGTTGTATTTTTTAATTTTCAAGTGTATGATATCTCCATGGTTTGGACTTGAAAAAATGTCGTGTAGGACTCGACAAAGGAGCTCCTGAGATAAAAATTGATGTCGAGTCACACTCGACATAGGTGTGCAAAGGGTTAATAAATATTAATAAGGAGATATAAATTGAAAGGTAAATTTTAATAAAGATAAACTTCCAATTGTACCTACTCTGATGTAAGAAACCGTAAAACAATTATTGCAAGCAGATTGTCTGTAGGCTATAGTATTTATAGAAAACTAAAGAGGATCAAAAAAATGTAGAAAAGCTTTCTTCAAGAATAGGAAATCTCGAAATGTTTCAAAATTACTTCCATTCTCGAGGGATGGAGATGGAAATTTGTTAGAAAATCTCGAGAATTCTTGAGTACGATCACTATACTGAATTTCGATTGCTCTGTTCTAATACACAATAATAATACAATTAATACTCTTTTATCAGGCATTTCGAAGCTTTTCTTTACGATCAACTGAGAAAGCTCCAGAGAAGGCCAGCCACTCCAGATTTTTGCACCGAGGCGAAACAGTGTACTCAGAAAACTCATCGCTGTCATCATGCAACAAGCGCTTACACTTCTTTCCCTGTGTATACATACCGTACGTTGCTATACTATATTTTTGGCAAAACGTGATTTTCAGAATTCCATTTCTAACATTTTTGCTGGAATTGAGCCTTTATTTACGAAGAAACTACCCCAAGTGATAATGTCCAACTTCGATGAAACTTTGAAGGATTGTAGAGTAATCATTTATTACTTGATTATTATCATAAAATAAAGACGTAAAAAACGTGCTTGGCTAAATTCACGAAAACTATCAAGCGTAGAGAAAACATGTAAATTGAGTAATTATATATTTTTCAACAATGAATCTACCTGTGTAAATAGTATTAAAAAATATTTTTATTAAATTTGCATATGAATTTTATACATCAAATACGAATATTTTGGAATTTCGAATTTTATTATTGTAAAACAAATGTTTATATTTTATTCGACGAGATCAGATTTCCATCATGAAACGAGCAAAAGGTTTTATTAATAAGTCCTGAGTCGATTAATGTAATAAAGATAGTTTGCTGATTACTGTACTGAAAAAAGTTTATGAAAATTAGACATTTTCACTTCGTGTAAGTAACGTTGATAGTACGAAAAATGAAATTCATCACTTGGAATTTTTATGATAGAGAAATGGAACTCTGAATGCGAAAATTCAAATCAGATGATATTCAAAACGAGTCAGTTTCCCTATTGTGATTGTAGATTATAATTGCAGTAGGTGGAGCCGGCCAAGAACAAGGGGATCTTCTTCCGAAGATAGAGAGTCGTGGAAAAGGACAAATGACGGTAACATTCGACAATTTGAAACGAAATAAATCGAATAACGTACAGGTTGCAAGTAAAATGCAGACAAAAATTTATAGGGGTTGATAAAAATCATTTAGAAAACAAAAAAATATCTGTTAAAAAAATACACTGAAAAATATTTTAATAAGCACATATTTGAAGAGTGATAGTTTTATAAATATTGAACCCTTTAATTTGCAAGTAAATAATGTCAATAACTAATGTTCCTTGTGACAAATATGATTGGTCATAGATCATTTCAAATGTGTTTTTTTCACTTCAATTTATCATTTAAACAAACTCCTACCATTTTAATCATTTGTTACGAAAATGTTCTGTGTCATGTACAATGCAAATTAAAAAGATAAATTCTAAAACCATTAGTTTGCATGTATATTTGTTAATACCTTTTTCTGTTAATGGATACTATCGACATTTGTATCTACATTTTACTTATACCATGTGTGCAGTAATTAATAATAATTGCATGAAAATTACATCGTGTTATCTTGATAAACGACTAAACACGAAAGAAGAATTTAAAAATTGTTTAATAATTGTTTGATTTCAAAATTGACACTTGCAAATGAGAACAACCCCTTAAGAGGATATTCTAGTGTGAATCTTTCAAAAAATCGAATTCTTTTTTTTCATTTTCTTAAAGAATATAAGTTGAGAAATATATCTGCAAACCCTTGTGCCTAAACTCCTAAAATTAACAAAGTTATGGCTGTTTAAAGACGTTATGATCAACGTCATTGTTATAGGGATGTTTGAGAGTATGCAGTGTCACCAATTTTAATTTTTTTTCATCTAAAAAATTTTAAAATATCACTGAAACATGCACAACTACATCTTGTAAATTATATTGCAAATGGTGTTATAGTTTATTTGAAAAAAATTCCTCGAGAAAGTTAAAAAAAATCGCATTTCACACTAAAATGCACCCTTAATATTTTTCTCTTGATTTTGAATCGTAAAATATTGTTTGTTGAAGGTGGAAGTAACGCATGGAGAGGAGAAGCAGATAATAGCTCTTCCGGCTGAAAGACTGGATCGTACAAAAAAATATTATGTGACGTTCACTGTCAGAGGGGAAGCACACGAAACGGAAAAGCCTAAATCGTCGATCGGTGTTCAAAGAAATGCCAAAAGCGTTTAAATAGTCTTCGCGGTAGCTACGCCCTCTTGTTTTGGCGATTTTTACTGCAATTCTTCGATTCGCTTGAAAGAAAAAAAAAAATGTCAAAGACGTTTCTATCTTTTTCTACATAATTTTCTATTCTTTCTTCGGGACGTAACGATTAATAAAAAATTACAATTAATTAACGTCAAATTTTCTACGGGATTTGTAAATTAGTTTCACGAAGATATATTATGTTTCACGTAGAATAATGTGTCTACGAAAAGTAAACAAAACATTCGAAAACTGCCAGAGAAAGGTTTATGTACAAATTCGCGGGAAGCATTGAATTGAAAATGTATTCTGTATAAAAGTAACCGACCTTATTGTAAAAATGTTGAATAATATATAAGAATTGCGTTGTAATTTATCATTGTGAATAATGAGTTAGGTCGAAGCGTTCTACGCATAAATTTTATTTAGTCGTAACGAGTGTGTCGTTAAAAGTTAAGCGATAACGTTGAAAAATGGAACTACAATTTTGTATAATAATTTCGTTCACTTCGATCAACGTTTGTTTCAAGCTCTCTGCGTATTTCTTATGAACTGTGCGCTGTCTTTTGCGAGAAATTAAAAATTATTACATTCACAAACACCGATCATAATTGTAACGTTATTGTTCTTGTACGACGAAAGACGGTTCGTTCTTGCAAAAGCAGGGGCCATACGGTAATTAACGCATACATTTATTGTATATTTGTGTAAAGGTAACAGCTACACGTGACTGCACGCGTGTACGCAATGCTGTGTAAAATAAACAATTATAAATCAGATCATGTTTTCCCAATCTTCAAACGAAACATCACTCATGTTTATTTGCTACTTCAAAATTAGCAAATTTAAGAGAAAATTTAATTATATCTTTAATTCTCAAACGGTGTGAATATTTATGTACATAAATGGCACCACAAAAAATACTATAAAATCTACTTTAATCTAAAGAAATAAAACGCGAATATTTAAAATTCTCTAACAAATATCAAAGTGCTTATCTTTCTAGAAACTATAATTTATCTATTTAAATTTGTACTACATTTTACTTTCCACTTCCATTGCTTCAAATTAGCAAAAAGAGAAACTATGAATTTAATTATACCTTTAATTCTCAAAAAGTGTGAATATTTATGTACATAAATGGCACCATAAAAAATACTATAAAATCTACTTTAATCTAAAGAAATAAAACACGAATATTTTAAATAATCACTCATGTATATTTGTTGCTTCAAATTGGCAAATTTAAGAGAAAATTTAATTCTCAAACGATGTGAATACTTATGTACATAAATGGCACTATAAAAAATATTATAAAATCTACTCTAATCTAAAGAAATAAAACATAAATATTTTAAATAATTACTTATGTATATTTGTTGCTTCAAATTGGCAAATTTAAGAGAAAATTTAATTATATCTTTAATTCTCAAACGGTGTGAATATTTATGTACATAAATGGCACCACAAAAAATACTATAAAATCTACTTTAATCTAAAGAAATAAAACGCGAATATTTAAAATTCTCTAACAAATATCAAAGTACTTATCTTTCTAGAAACTATAATTTATCTATTTAAATTTGTACTACATTTTACTTTCCACTTCCATTGTTTCAAATTAGCAAAAAGAGAAACTATGAATTTAATTATACCTTTAATTCTCAAAAAGTGTGAATATTTATGTACATAAATGGCACCATAAAAAATACTATAAAATCTACTTTAATCTAAAGAAATAAAACACGAATATTTTAAATAATCACTCATGTATATTTGTTGCTTCAAATTGGCAAATTTAAGAGAAAATTTAATTCTCAAACGATGTGAATACTTATGTACATAAATGGCACTATAAAAAATATTATAAAATCTACTCTAATCTAAAGAAATAAAACATAAATATTTTAAATAATTACTTATGTATATTTGTTGCTTCAAATTGGCAAATTTAAGAGAAAATTTAATTATATCTTTAATTCTCAAACGGTGTGAATATTTATGTACATAAATGGCACCACAAAAAATACTATAAAATCTACTTTAATCTAAAGAAATAAAACGCGAATATTTAAAATTCTCTAACAAACATCAAAGTGCTTATCTTTCTAGAAACTATAATTTATCTATTTAAATTTGAACTACATTTTACTTTCCACTTCCATTGCTTCAAATTAGCAAAAAGAGAAACTATGAATTTAATTATACCTTTAATTCTCAAAAAGTGTGAATATTTATGTACATAAATGGCACCATAAAAAATACTATAAAATCTACTTTAATCTAAAGAAATAAAACACGAATATTTTAAATAATCACTCATGTATATTTGTTGCTTCAAATTGGCAAATTTAAGAGAAAATTTAATTCTCAAACGATGTGAATACTTATGTACATAAATGGCACTATAAAAAATATTATAAAATCTACTCTAATTTAAAGAAATAAAACATAAATATTTTAAATAATTACTTATGTATATTTGTTGCTTCAAATTGGCAAATTTAAGAGAAAATTTAATTATATCTTTAATTCTCAAACGGTGTGAATATTTATGTACATAAATGGCACCACAAAAAATACTATAAAATCTACTTTAATCTAAAGAAATAAAACGCGAATATTTAAAATTCTCTAACAAATATCAAAGTGCTTATCTTTCTAGAAACTATAATTTATCTATTTAAATTTGTACTACATTTTACTTTCCACTTCCATTGCTTCAAATTAGCAAAAAGAGAAACTATGAATTTAATTATACCTTTAATTCTCAAAAAGTGTGAATATTTATGTACATAAATGGCACCATAAAAAATACTATAAAATCTACTTTAATCTAAAGAAATAAAACGCGAATATTTAAAATTCTCTAACAAACATCAAAGTGCTTATCTTTCTAGAAACTATAATTTATCTATTTAAATTTGTACTACATTTTACTTTCCACTTCCATTGCTTCAAATTAGCAAAAAGAGAAACTATGAATTTAATTATACCTTTAATTCTCAAAAAGTGTGAATATTTATGTACATAAATGGCACCATAAAAAATACTATAAAATCTACTTTAATCTAAAGAAATAAAACACGAATATTTTAAATAATCACTCATGTATATTTGTTGCTTCAAATTGGCAAATTTAAGAGAAAATTTAATTCTCAAACGATGTGAATACTTATGTACATAAATGGCACTATAAAAAATATTATAAAATCTACTCTAATCTAAAGAAATAAAACATAAATATTTTAAATAATTACTTATGTATATTTGTTGCTTCAAATTGGCAAATTTAAGAGAAAATTTAATTCTCAAACGATGTGAATACTTATGTACATAAATGGCACTATAAAAAATATTATAAAATCTACTCTAATCTAAAGAAATAAAACATAAATATTTTAAATAATTACTTATGTATATTTGTTGCTTCAAATTGGCAAATTTAAGAGAAAATTTAATTATATCTTTAATTCTCAAACGGTGTGAATATTTATGTACATAAATGGCACCACAAAAAATACTATAAAATCTACTTTAATCTAAAGAAATAAAACGCGAATATTTAAAATTCTCTAACAAACATCAAAGTGCTTATCTTTCTAGGAACTATAATTTATCTATTTAAATTTGTACTACATTTTACTTTCCACTTCCATTGCTTCAAATTAGCAAAAAGAGAAACTATGAATTTAATTATACCTTTAATTCTCAAAAAGTGTGAATATTTATGTACATAAATGGCACCATAAAAAATACTATAAAATCTACTTTAATCTAAAGAAATAAAACACGAATATTTTAAATAATCACTCATGTATATTTGTTGCTTCAAATTGGCAAATTTAAGAGAAAATTAATTTCTCAAACGGTGTCAATATTTATGTACATAAATGGCACCTTAACAACTGCTATAAAATCTACTTTAATCTAAAGAAATAAAACACGAATGTTTTAAATAATCACTTATGTATATTTGTTGCTTCAAATTAGCAAATTATTTAAGAGAAAATTTAATTATACCTTTAATTCTTAAACGGTGTGAATATTTAGGTACATCAATAGCACTATGAAAAATACTATAAAATCTACTTTAATCTAAAGAAATAAAACATGAATATTTTAAATAATTACTCATGTATATTTGTTGCTTCAAATTAACAAATTTAAGAGAAAATTTAATTATACCTTTAATTCTCAAACGGTTTGAATATTTATGTACATAAATGGCACCATAAAATTCTCTAACAAACATCGAAGTACTCATCTTTCTAGAAACCATAATTTGTGTATGTAAATTTTTACTACATTTTACTTTCCACTTCATTGTGCCTATTTAATCAACACTTACGTATCTAATCTAATCAGTTCAACATAATTGTTTCCTCCGTTTCGAATAAAAATATTCTAAACTTCGAATCGCAAACTAAAGTTAAGCATCTGGGTTGCGATTGTGAAAAATGATTCCTTATCGCACGCAATCGAATTTTATCGGAGAGGTTATGAAAATGGCCGATCGTCATCTGGATCCTTGTCCCTCGGTCGACCCTAAATCCATCCGCCACGGTGACAGCGAGTGTCGCGTAGGAATGTCACTAAACTATTGTGTTGCAACCGAATTGGCGAACCTAGGCATTCGCGACATGACGAGCAGCTTCTACTGGAATTATCGATCAGCCCTCTGACGTAGTTAAACAATTGGTCGTGAGCGCGTAATCGTTTCGATTCACTGGCAAAAGCGCGCCGCTGTCAGTAATAAGACAGCCACAGTGTGGTCTGTCAATAATGCTGTCACGTCAAACGCGATCGACGAGAGTCAGAGTGAAGTTCGCGACGATGCATCTTAAACACACCATCGAGGAAACGAGATTCCTGTGAGAAGCCTTCGCATGGACAAATGGCTCCAAGATAGAAAGCTCTGGCTTTTCGGTAGCACGCTACCCTTGCTACCACGCAGGTAAACATTGCCACTTACGAAGTATTACGCCCACCAATGAAAAACTCGTATATTTTTCCCCGTTAAACTAATCGCAAATCAAACATAGACAAATTTATCGACAGTAAACAAATCCGATTTCGTCATCGAGCGACCCAAAAATCGATATACGTCCGTTGAAAAATGTATTTTTTATGCTTCAACCGTTCGATCGCGAACTTGTTTTAATCTTGCAATTAGACTATAATCAATTCAAATTTAATTGATAGAATTTTTAGACTATATTCTCTCTATTTTTGTTTGTGTTTCCAATTTACTCTGTTATGGTTCTGTGTCTGATTCTTGAGTGTCGTTTAAAAGAAACTGTAACAATTTTCTAATAACAAAGTAATATTGTAACTGGAATCTGGGGCCCCGTTCTCTCCGGAATACGCGACTTTGACATTGGGTTAAATCGATCGATCCTTGTTACATAGTTTTAACACGCGAGGCATGATGTATGCATTAAACGTCACAGACTGCTATTAAACGCGATGGACGTGTCAACAGGAAGGTAGACTTTCAACGGAGTAGCTAAATAAAAATCGTTTTTTAATATAACGATTGTTCCTCTCTCCGAGATTATAATTTTTAAAATATGTATCGACTGATTATTTTCGTTTGTATTGCAGCAGACAAGTATTATTAACAAAAAAAGAATTCAAAATGTAAACTTGTAAAAAACTGACAAACAAGAGAGTAAGTGTTGAAAGGATTTGAACAATTAAGACAGCATTAAAGGTTCTCTGAATAGAACCAATGAATAAAAACATTTTGTCGTGGAATTACGTTTTCTCTTGAGCGTGACTGTTTGGTTTTTTTCACATCGATCGATTTCTTTCGGTTCTCTGCGTGTAAATGTTTCAGCGATCAAGAAATGAATAATTTATGAGGTATATTCATTTTTTACGTCAGAAGTCTAATTTGACGCAACCGTTCGAAAGTCCGAACTTATTAAAGCGTAGCAAACGCTATTAATCCATTTGTTTCGAACTGGTATTTCACATGGAAAAATTAGCCTCCATTTTGCTTTATATGTTAGGCATTAGAAAATTAATGAACTCTCATTCTTTTTGCTATGTGGTGTTTTTTAACTAAAAATTTGACTATTAAAATCGAGAAAATTTTGTTAAGTCCTGATAAAATTCTGCAACAACATTCTCAGCTTTCTCAAACAGTTTCCATCTATATCGATGAACACGATAGCGGTGTCTATCATCCCCCAGCTTTGTAACAGAGAATTTAAAGAAACGTTATAGCAGAAAATAACTTTGTCGCCTTCCGACACGTAGATTACAAGCCAAAAACATTTTAACCCCGTTCACGGTCGTCATTCAAACATAGGCGTAGGTGGCTTAATATCGATTGTCAATAATCAAGAGTACATTGCAAAGAAGCGTTTCAGCACACTTATTGTTAGTAATGCTCGGCATGTTCAACGAAAAGGGTGTTTCGACAACAGGACTCAATGAACGCCATCATAGGATTTCTGTACGTATACATACGTGATAACTCATATTTTCAATCAAATAAAAGAAACATGGTTGACTCCATATATCAGATTCAAAGTATCGTTCGAGTAGCAAAATTTAATTCCTAACATACGTTACTTGCAAGTGATTTTTATTTCGTTTACTTTTAACATTTACCAAAACCAAAAAATTAAAATATTGGCTCTATACACCAGCTGCATAGCTATTTACATGATACAGTGTCGCTGGAACACGTTATTTCCTATCGTGGCGAACATTCGCCATTAAAGACTTCACATGTAAATATAAAATAAAAAAACAAAATATAAAAATTAAAATTAAATGTTATTTCCTACATTGACATTGACAAACAGCAAAGAGTAGCAAAATTTAATTCGTAACATACGTTACTTGCGAGTGATTTTTATTTCGTTTACTTTTAACATTTACCAAAACCAAAAAATTAAAATATTGGCTCTGTGCACCAGCTGCATAGCTGTTTACATGATACAGTGTCGTAGGAACACGTTATTTCCTATCGTGGTGAACATTCGCCATTAAAGACTTCACATGTAAATATAAAATAAAAAAACAAAATATAAAAATTAAAATTAAATGTTATTTCCTACATTGACATTGACAAACAGCAAAGAGTAGCAAAATTTAATTCGTAACATACGTTACTTGCGAGTGATTTTTATTTCGTTTACTTTTAACATTTACCAAAACCAAAAAATTAAAATATTGGCTCTATACACCAGCTGCATAGCTATTTACATGATACAGTGTCGTAGGAACACGTTATTTCCTATCGTGGCGAACATTCGCCATTAAAGACTTCACATGTAAATATAAAATAAAAAAACAAAATATAAAAATAAAAATTAAATGTTATTTCCTACATTGACATTGACAAACAGCTGTGTCGATGCTAGCACGAAATTTCTGTTATTATTCTAATAGTCGCTATTCGTTTTAAAGTTCTAGTAGAAGTATTCTATGCTCGTAATAAGTTCGCGGTATCGAGGTAAAAGGTCAAAACAATCGTCGAACCTAATTTCAAGATACTGCGAGCGCTCTATATCATCTCTATTACTTTTCACTCGAGTATGACACGCGAATCCGTTGATGCCAATAACGGCACCAACGTCCAGCTTATTATTTTTTAAGTAGTCCACGTGATGTCGGTTAGAATGTCATCTTATCTATCACGAAAGAATCGCCAGTTCCTATACTATTATTTAATCGAAAGAAATTACTCGATTTCTCATATTCTTTCGCAACATTTAATATGTTTTATATTGCACTCATTTTACTAACAGAATCACCAATATAGCATGACGTTATTACAAAATTCACTTCAACGCACGGTTAAATAATTAAAAATAATATTGATGTATAATATTGACTGTCTTTCGTGAAAATAATTAGTTAAAAGTATATTAGAACTATGAATTCGAGAGTGTATATTGTTTGACAGGGTCCATTTTGACCCAAACCTGAATTTCATTATTTTGCATTCCAGTGCAAAAACTTCGATTTAATTTTTGCGTCATCGTACTTGTAAATCCTTTATTTATTAATGTCGTTCATTTACAAGCTCATTAAGTAATAATAGTATTATTATTTATTAAAAACTACACGACTCTGAAGGAAATAGTTTGTGTGAATTCATATTATATTATAATTCTGCAAAGAGTTAACAATTATAATACATATTTCCTATTTTTGGTCGCTCTACAAACCCTGCTCAATTTTGTCAAAATCAGTGGATCACTTCATGGATCATCCTTGTCAGTTGCACACAGTGATGATCGCAAGAAAGGAGGGCTACTCCGCCATTAATTAAAAAGATCTATCATTCGATTTTAAATTTTTAAGTTTATAAATTTACAGTTTTAAATTTACGTGAACTTGCTCGAGCAAAATTTAAATATTCACTATAATAATACAGACAGTGCAAAAACTTTCAATCAACTGAGTAAGACAAAGCTTCACTATATCTCTGTTATAATCATTATGTACCGTAATAAAGTCCAATTTTCTTTATATCTGATTAATTTCTGATAAAAGAGAAATTTGAATTTTGGCTAGCTTTTGGTCGTGTTTGTGTAAAAATGATTAAAATTCGTTCGTGAAATTAGCCAATAGTGCAGTGCAACTTCAGAGCCGCTGAGACGTATTTAACCTACCATCGACGACCTTTGAATGGTAGCGATGCATTTTCAGCCTATTAAAAATTAAATTCGGTTCCTGAACGACCTCCAAAATTAACGCTTCGAATTACACCCGTTTGACGATACCAAATACTTCGAGTATGGTGAACTGTTCATACTCGGTTCGACATGATCAACGATTTGAGGTTCGCAAACTATCGCCAGCGCGTGCCGCTTTGGTAAGCCGACAACACTGTACAACAGTTGCTCTTAACCTCTTGACCCACCATTTAATCGAAAGTAATTTTCCAAAACGCTTACAATTCTTTTTTAATATACTCGCAAAAGAGAACAGATTTGTTTCACGAATGTCTGATGACAAGTTCGACTAAATATTATTCTCTTACAACTGAGGGTATATGTTTGGAGAAAATAGAAATAAACTTATTCGTAATCTTTGCAAAAATAGATTTTTCCCTCCTCGTTGACGTATTCTTGGTTAAACCACGTATTACGTCGTTACTTATTATTCATAATTATCTTAAAAAGCACAGTCTATACCTTTAATTATACTTGACGTATGAGAACTCTATGTTTATAGTGTTACTATACACAACTGAGTGCTGATAACCCTGTAAGGGGTTCTTAACGTAAATAAATAAAAAAAAAACTGGGGGTATATATCTATTACATCAAAAAATATCAACTTCATATTTTCAATTGACATTATTATAGTTATTAGTAGACTGCGGATCTTTATGCAAATTCACATTTTTATTAATAGAATTAATGAAACGGAAGCTTCGCAGAGGGCTGTCTCAACCCCTAAATATAATAATTCTTATCTTACTTTAAGTATTTCTTATATTTTTGTATATTAAATGCATCCTGTTGTTTTTTGAGGATTAAAATTTCCCATAAATGCATAAACATCCGCAGTCTAGTTATTAGACTATAATAAATCTTTCAATATTTCGAACTCATTATATCTTGTACAAAGAAATTTCAAACTTTCTTGGTAAAGTAAACTTTCAAATACTCACAAAAGTACTTTGCTAATATTGTCTTTAAAAAACAAAATTTACAAACACTTTAACACTAGGACTACCAACAATTATAGTACACTTATTTGTACCAAAGAAATTAGAACGATAGATACGTGAAGAAATGTATAATGCAATGGAAATAAGTGTTTATTCATTCTCTTATAGAAAATTACAGTTTTTTTCAAAAATTCAGTCGAGTACAGTTTTTAATTTTATTAAAAATTACGAATCATTTTGAGTGCTTTGATAGTTCTAGTATTAAACACAGTTTTTGTTCTGACTAACATAAATTCTATCGAAGACCTAATCAAGGATGAAATCGTTGATCTTAGAACCAAAAATTCGCTTGAATTGGGGGATTCTAGAGTTTCTTGTAAGAAGCTTATCATCGTTTTGTGGAACAATGTATGCAAGTTTATCTGGTTAAAAAATATTGATTTAACTCAAATTTATGGACGTTGATCTCTCAAAGGGCAATGAGCTCTCTTGAACTGGTAAAAGAGGTCACAGGGACATTAAAAAAATGAAAATTGCTTGTGAAACTCGAGACATTTTTCCGACTGAACCAGGAAAGTTCAGCAACGACGTTCTCAGGTTGTTTTAACAACCTTTTAAGGGTGGGGGGTGTCCAATTTCTACGCAAGCTGGTCAGCGTTAGGCGATCTAAGGGCGCCTGCGCCAGGTTCTGATTCAAATAAAGCGAAAGCCAGAGGGGAGCTTGACCCTTGGTCATCGGCTAGGATACACAGTTTGCCTCGCAACCTTTACAGTGATAGTATGCTCTTTACGCAGCAGTTCACCTCTTTGCCATGCCTTGCCAAGTATAAAAAGTACGAACCCAAATTACGTTTAAAAGGAACATCCGCGAAGTGAACAAACTGTAATACATCGTAGGTTTGTAGAGCGGCAAAATACAAGTGTAAATATATTTTTGTCTTAGCTACGGTAACTCGAACTTAAAAGGTGAAAGTAATGTAATTGTTCATCCCCTAATACTGTCTTGAAAACTACTGGATCAGGAACTTTTACAAACAAATTCTTTATGGTTTTTGACAGAAAATAATATAATATACAGGTGTCAATCAAGAGATTAGTAAGAAAGTGAAAAGATCGCTTTGACAGCCTTTGGTTTTAACACGTTGACTGCCACACTAGTTTTCCTTGTTTTGGGATATCCTCGACAGTTTTTTAAATTAATATATTCAATAGTTCGATGAAGCACTTATTATTTTAATGTTCTTCTAATATATCTGCACCATTATCATTAAATTTAATTAGTGAAATTTTTATTTTAATAGTTTTTTTAATTTTAAAATTAATGTTATTCAATAATTTTTTTTTATACCATAAGATTTTGTAGCATTTCTAATGGTAATGAAATATTATTAAAAAATGTACAAATATTAAGGTTCCATGGCCGCCAGTAACCACCATGGCAATCGACGTGTTAACTGAATTAAAATAATTGTGGTAAATGCAAGCATGACTTAATTTTGTTATTCGATATAGATTTGGATCTTTTGGGATATTCTTCAGTACATAAATTTGATTCAGTTATCTGAATAATTAGGGAACAAATAAAACAGTATTTGACGTAAGAAGAGTTAATAGTTAATATTAATTTTAGTTTGTGAGACTATTAATAAAAGAAAAGTAATTAAATTCGTAGTAATACGGTGTAATACATGTATGTATAGTCATTCTTCATAAAAACTTCATAAATTTTATTAGTTTTTTTTGCGTTGAATATTTTTATGTTTATTCTTTAATTATTCAGGTAATTGGACCAAATGTATACTGAAGAAGACCCGGACAACAGGTCAAAATGAATAATAAATATAAATGAAACTATAATACATAATACTTTTGAAGATAAGAATGAGAGGGTGAAAAATGAAAGTTTGAAAGACAATTTCAACCCCTTAAACTTGAGTTACTGCAACTAAGAGGAAATACATATTTCCTATTTTTGGTCGCTCTAGAAACCTGTTCAATTTTGTCAAAATCAGTGGATCACTTCATGGATCATCCTTGTCAGTTGCACACAGTGATGATCGCAAGAAAGGAAGACTACAGAGTTTTGATCCCTTCGCCATTAATTCAAAAGATCTATTATTCGATTTTAAATTACTTCAAATGTTGAGGAATCGTCAAAACAGTTTTAACATCACGTGAACTTGATCGAGCAAGAGAAAATATTAGTGTTAAAAAGTTTCTAAAGTTTTCAAGTGTAACCAATGTGTAACCGGTGGCGGATCTAGTAGAGTTCAAAGAGGGTGAGGGAATTAACAAAATATTGCGAGAAAATTATAATTAGAAACAGATAGATTAAAGTTTTGATGATTATTTTTATTATAATTTCCTGGAGTGGGATTCTCGAATATTTAATTAACGTTCCTCCCCTTTGAACTCTACCAAGTTCGTTCCTAACTTCAAAAGCCTTTCAACGCTAAAATTTAAGTTCAGGTGAAAATAAAACTGCCTGTTTTTCTTATCAAAATCAGTGATAGCGAAATCAGTATTTAAATTTTACTTGAAGAGTCCATTTAAAACTCCTCGAATAAAAGTCCCATTATTATTAGGGTCCATTGTTTCATATAAAATAACGTTTTTCTGCTACTACGTGTATTTGTTCGTTTATTGTAACCCGGAGAGCTTTTGTTACGGGCTGCATTGCTGGTCAGATCGGTGACGTAAGGAATGCGATAAATGAATCGCGATTGTCATTGCACTTCAATGGGAACGCGCGTGCACTCGCGTGTCACAATGCGCTGTGATAACATCCGCGATGGGCTCATAACTGTGCCACATCATTTACATTAATGAGGCCCCTAATAACGATTCCATTGAACCACCAATAGCAACGTCGCCACTAATACTTAAATAAAAAATTAGAAATACAATTATTTAACATACATTCTGCGGAAATTTCATGAAACCTACTATCAGAATTTTAATAGTCTCACGCAATTTCTTTATTGCTTCACAAGTCTTAGATCATCGAAGCTTCAATAATTATATTTCTGTTTATAATTCATGGGGATGGGATTCTCGAGTCTTCTATTCTTTATAAGATACTTTGAGTACCTGAAAATAGCTGAGAATGAGTCTCAAATTTCGACTAGCCCTGAGAAAAATTTTAATGGGAGATTCTAGAGGGCAAAATAAGACGAAAATCAAGAATACCAATTTGTTGATCGAGGCTTCGTTAAAAAGTTGTTAACGTTTGAAGTTCCGCATGTAGAACTGCGATCTGCGAACAACTGCGCACGCGTAATGGTGGTATCTTTAAACGTTAATAACTTTTTAACGAAGCCTCGATCAACAAATTGGTATTCTTGATTTTCGTCTTATTTTGGCCTCTAGAATCTCCCATTAAAATTTTTCCCAGGGGTGGATCATCTTGCACTACAGCTAATAGTATAAACCCGTGAATAAAAACAGATTATGGAAAAGAGTAGAAGTCGAAAAGAAACATTGTACCTCGTAATAAAATTCATATCGAAGGCCCTGATTATACATAAAATCGTTTTATTATGTGTATTGTGGCTAGATAATCGCTTACGGTCAATTTGATGAGACGAAACGGTTCAAATGGATTGTTTTTGTGCACAGGTCACGTGCGCCGAGCAAGGCGATGGAACGATACGAACGGCTGGCGCGTCTTGGGGAGGGTAGCTACGGTGTCGTCTTCCAGTGCAGGGATCGTCAAACTGGAAAATTGGTAGCCGTGAAAAAGTTCCAACAGACAGAAGATGACCCCCTCATACGGAAGATCGCGCTACGCGAAATACGCCTCCTTAAGGTTAGTGATAAATAAAAAATATCTTGCAAGAAGTACGGTACTTTGACGAATCGTTTCAGAGTGAAATTTTAAATATCAATTGTTTATTTTTTTTTTACGATGCTCCGTATCATGGAATTGGAGCTAACATACGATTCTGGTAGATACGTTCCAGGCATAATAGTAACGAGGCTAATGGTTAATAAAATTGCACCAGTGATTATGAAAGTGAAGCATGTCATATACAGAGCATTGCACGATAATCAGACTTTTAATGTAAGAAATTTAAAAAACTTATTTCGATAGAGGAAAAGGTCATCTTGACTGTTCTTAAATGGCGCCCTATATCTTTTACTTCGTAGAGTTGTTGCTGATGGAGAAACGAGTTCAACGACCTACTACACTGTAACCTACAGATAACTTTCATTTCAGAAATTTAGATTCGATCAACGGAAACTTTAAAGTGAAAAATTATATTATTTCAAGCAATTTACTTTTCCATAAATTTCATTTTATCTTTCAAACAAGAAATTATTATTATTTATACGTTTTAGAGTTAAGCGATACTCGAACCGAGCAATAAATGTTTGAACCTATTTATTAAACCATCGTATACAAATCTTATATAACTTCCTCGGCAAACTTTACAGGAACTGTCTTTATTGGTTCAGCAATCGATCACATTATGCAACAGAGGGGTTAAGTACATTTGGGTCAAATTGACCCAATGCTAAATATGGACGTGGAATGTAATTTTACCTTTTGCCGATACTGCATGTATAGGGTACATATAATTTTCAGAGACAACGAATCTAAAGGCAGGAATAGACAGAATTCTTATTTAGATAATAATCTCGAATAAAGAATAAAATAATTGTAACGAATAAAAGTTTAACTGTTAGATCTATTAACCAGCACGAATAAATTTTCATACGTCTGTCTCGTTGGTTATTTTGTCTAAATGTCTTTTCTTATCTACAATTTTTGGCGGTAAACAAGTGTCCATTTTCTAAAAGTTTCAACCGAAATAATCTTACAACGGAGTACTTGTACGCCACAGTTACACGCCGCGAAGAAGTTATCGCGACAGCATATCTTCATCCGAGAGTCTAAAACAGCTCTTTCTTCTAAAAATAAATACATTGCAAAATTAAAAGCATTTAAACCACTTTTAAACGTAAGAAAAAATAACCTTTGTTTCCTTCGTGTTTCATTTTCATTAATATGTACAAGCACCGCAAAAACTGATTTATTTGTCACTTTTCTATTATTAACTATGTACTTCGGAACACAATATCTGGCGGAACAATTCATTATTACGCAAGAACATAGAGTTCTTCGCTTTTCTATAAAAATGACCCAATTTCCGGCGCAGGGGTTGCTCGACTATAGGTATCCATTTCCTCGTAGGAGGAAATGTCCAACCATGTATTCGTAATACCTTATCAGAAACTGCTATGAAGTCTTTAGTTCCTCGAGCTTTCAACGCGTATTCTACCCCTACGCCTACATACTTAGAGGTGAACAACCTCTCGTACCCTGAAAATACGAAACCTCGTGTTGTCCACGAATTAAGACTGGTCTGAGGTACTCAGGGGGTCGAAAGATCTGTCGTTGCGCCACGATGGGCGTCAACGTTCGATTTATTCTCAGAGATTCCGAACGCAAAATAAGGCGGACAACAGGCAAAAATTCATAATCTTACACAACGGAATAGCCGCATAAATCCAACGTTGACTACAAGAAGTGGCCAACGGTCAATACCGCGGCGGTCAATATCTTAGCGTGTTCTGCTCTCGCCGACCTAGCCTTATCGAAATAATCGGTGGGCTCCCTCCCAAACATATGCGCATTCAAACGAGCCTGCACTCTGCTCTGACATTTTGCCTCAAGGATATTTTCTTTCGTGCACAAAATAAATCGTAATGGTAATGATTTCCTCCTAGCCGCGACTCTTGACCGTAACACGTGTTCGCGATAACGAGAAACTTTATTCGAGTTTCTTTCGAGGAAACTATACGCGAACCGAATACTTTGCTTCGATCCGCCCCTTACTCCGAGCGATAAGCTCGAATTTATATGTTAACAATAACTTACGTTACTATTCTTTGTACTACGACACAATGATTCGGAATTAATGGATGTGGTTCAGTTGGCCACATCAAATTTACCCTCGTCGTTTGCTTGATATTTGCTCTTTGTGCTGTTTGAATGCTGCAAGAATAATCAACGAGGCCATTTTAATAAGCCAACAGTAACTTATTTCTAAATTACTGCCTTTTTTACCACGATACTTTAATTCAGAATTAATGGATGTGGTTCAGTTGGCTTCATTAAATTCACCCTCGTTGTTTGCTTGATATTTGCTGTCCGTGCTGTTTGAATGCTGCAAGAACAATCAACAAGACTATTTTAATGAGCCAATAATAACTTATTTCTAAATTACTATCTTTTTTACCACGATACAATGATTTAGAATTAATGGATGTGGTTCAGTTGGCTCCATCAAATTCACCCTCGTAGTTTGCTTGATATTTGCTGTGCGTGCTATATAGGGAGTTCGGCCACCCCTAGAAAAAATTGTAATGGGTAATTCTAGAGGCCAAAATAAAACGAAAATCAAGAATACTAATTAGTTGTTGGAGGCCTCGTTAAAAAGTTATTAACGTTTAAAGTTTCGCCAGAACTGAATTTTTTTCTCGAAAATTCGTAGGATTTCGGGGGTATGTCTATTCACCAAAAATAATTGTAATTCACCCCTGGAACCGAAAATAATTTTTCTAGAAGGATTTGTAATTTTTTAATTTCGTCGAAAAATTTCTGTACCTACCAATTTTTCTCTCGAAAGTGAGTAGGATTTCGAGGGTACGTCTTTTCACCAAAAATTATTATAATTGACCCCCGCAACCGAAAATAATTTTTCCAGAACGATTTGAAATGTTTATTTTTTGCCTTTGAGCAGCTACCTGTCGATTTTTCTTAAAAATTCGTTTTTCATTTTTAGTAATTTTATTTTACGCCCTACAGAAAATTTGTCTAATACTTTTTTGTAGATACCTATAAGCTCTATTTTAGAAAAAAGTTTCATTGAAATATATTCACTATTGTAGGAGTTATGGCTGTTTGAAACTTGGACCATTTTTATTGGGTTTTTGTCATTTTGCGGAGTTATAGATCAACTTTTCGAATATTTTTGCGATTTCTACACATTCTCCACTTAAATACGCATTGTTTGCCGTTTGAAACATTAAAATTGTCCAATCCATTCAGGAGTTATGATGTTTCAAAGATTCGCTTGAAATTTCGGGCAGCCATTTTGATGGCTCATATTAGATTTTCGGCAAGGAATTTTTTTCTCGAATATACGTAGGACTTCGGGGGTATATGTAATGACCAAAAATGATTGTAATCGATCCCTGCAACCGAAAATAATTTTTTTAGCACGATTTGAAATTTTTTTATTTTGTCGAAAAATTTGTCGTCCTTCCTGAATTTTTTCCTCGAAATTGCGGAGGATTTCGAGGGTATGTCTATTCACCAAAAATGATTATAACTGATGCCTACAACCAAAAATAATTTTTCCAGAACGATTTAAAATTTTTTAATTTAGTTTTTAATAACTTTTTAACCAAGCCTCAGTCTTGATTTTCGTCTTATTTTGACCTGTAGAATCTTCCATTACAATTTTTCCCAGGAGTGGCTGAACACCCTGTATGAATGCTGTAAGAACAATCAACGAGACCATTTTAATAAACCAACAATAACATATTTCTAAATTACTATTTTCTATACCACAATAAAATGTTACAGAATAAATTCGTATCAGTATTAATAGATACATATTGTTCAATTGGCTCTGTTGCTGCTTGTGCCTAAAAAATAAAACATTTGCAACGATTATACTATAAAATTTAAATTTACTATAAAAAGAAAAATTGAATTTGATTTAATCATAGGGACGTATATTTTGCAGAATCTCAAACACCCAAATCTTGTCAATCTTTTGGAAGTCTTCAGGCGGAAACGGAAGTTACACTTAGTCTTCGAATACTGCGAGTACACACTGTTGAACGAGATGGAAAGATATCCAAACGGCTGTCCGGAAATCACCACGAAGCAACTCACGTGGCAGATTCTACAGGGTGTCGCGTATTGTCATCGGCTAGGCTGCGTGCACAGGGACGTGAAGCCTGAAAATATTTTAATAACGGGCGACGGGGTGGTGAAACTCTGCGATTTTGGTTTCGCGCGAATGCTCAGCCCTGGCGAGAACTACACGGAGTACGTCGCAACGAGGTGGTACAGGGCGCCCGAATTACTGGTAATTTTCTTAATAAATTAAAACGTTACTTAATTGATCGATTGATCTTCAAAACTGTCTTTTCCATCGAACAAACATACTCAATTATTTGGGGGAGTTTTGGGGGTCTCAGATCGCGAATCCAGCGTTGGAAATACCAAATTCAAAATGGCGGATACAATACAGTAAATGTATCTGCTAAAATATGTTGTGAAAGTATTTCTTCTCAAGATATTTTATTGAAATTCGATATTTGTTTTTCTAAAGGGGCGCTGTATATAAAATTCAATAAAATTAATACAATATACTCAGTAGCTTCAAAAGACATTAAAACTTATTTTTCTCGTTTAGCTAAAATCCTGAAACCATATCTGGGAAAGATTTCTTTACAAAATTTTGAGATATTCTCTTGTCTTGCAAAATGTAGCTTTATTATTTTGTATTTGGTATTTTCAATTCCGGATTCGTAATCATCGGCTCCAAAAACTCTCGAGTAACAAGTGTTACCGCAATATATTCGAGGGAAAACTTCGTGGAACAAAGGGTTAATGGTCATGTGCATATCTGGCACGTTCGACGATTGATTTACTACCAGCATTTACCAACGTAGGCAGTAATGCTCTTTTTGGAACGATCGTTTATTTCAAAGAAACAATTATAAATATAGGGGTACAATGAACTTAAACGAACAAACAGCTATCTTATAACTAGGACTACAATTTAGACTAATGGCTCAGCATAGAGCTCGTATAATTAATACTACATACAAGGTAGTTTTAAGAATAGTTACTTATACTAGGGGCAAGATTTAATATTTTGTATAGAAAAATGGCACCAAAAAAAAACTATACAAAGCAAAATTAAATCAAGTTTCAGTAACGCTTGTAATGACCAAGAGCCTCTTAAGGGAGCGTTAAAGTAACAATAAAAGACAAGAATTTAGACATATTAGGTCAAATGCAATGATCGAAGCATTTAAATTTAATTTTATCAAATACACGAATCATTTATTTTTAAACACTATTACAGTAACGAAAAACAGTTGGGTAAAAACATTGATCGTTTGAACAATTTTGGTCGGGGAATAGATTTAAGGGGTTTTTTATTTTGAATATAAAATATAAAAATAAAATATAAGTCTAATGTTTTTTCAACAGGTCGGGGATACCCAATATGGTACACCAGTCGACGTATGGGCAATCGGTTGTGTTTTCGCGGAATTGATACGCGGGGAGGCACTGTGGCCAGGAAAATCGGACGTAGATCAATTATACTTAATCCGAAGGACTATCGGCGACTTATTGCCAAGGCACTTGGCAATATTCCAACAAAACGAATTTTTTGCTGGTATTACCTTGCCAGCGCCTCAAACTCTTACCCCTCTCGAAGACACTCTACCCAACAGAGGCAATACCGCTCTACAGGTACATCGTCATTTCATTGGACGTATGCAAAAGTTTTAATGGGCTTTGGTATAAATGAAAAAATCGTTTCACTTCGTAGAAAATAAATTAATCAATTATGTTTAATTGACATCAACAATCTCGTCTGTCGAAAGTTGTGGGGTTTCCTTCGGTAAATTGTTCAATATACAGAGATTCTAGAGGCCAAAATAAGACGAAAATCAAGAATATCAATTTGTTGATTGAGGCTTCGTTAAAAAGTTATTCAAAAATTAAATTAAAAGGTTTCATTCACGGAAAAATTATTTTTGGTTGTGGGGGTCAATTATAATCATTTTTTATCAATATACATACCCTCGAAATTCTACACACTTTCCAGAAAAAAATTGGAGAAGGTGTGAAATTTTTTGACAAAATTAAAACATTTCAAATCGTTCTAAAAAAATTATTTGTAGTTTCAGGGGTCAATTACAATCATTTTTTATGAATAGACATATCCTCGAGATCTTGTGCATTTTTGAGAAAAAAATTCGAGTAGATACTGAAATTTTACGGCAAAATTAAAAAATTTCAAATCCTTCTAAAAAAATTATTCTCCGTTGCAGGGGTCAATTACAATCATTTTTTGTCAATAGACATACCCCCGAAATCCTACTCAGTTTCGAGAAAAAAATTCCTTACCGAAAATATAATTTCAGGCCAAAAATGGCTGCCCGAAATTTCATACGAATCTTTGAAACATCATAACTCCTGAACGGATTGGACGATTTTGATGATTCAAAATGCAAAGAACGCGTATTTTAATAGAGTATTTTAATAATACATTGAAATATAATGTTATTTAATTTTATCCAACAGCTCGACTTTCTTAAAAAGTGTTTGGACAAAGATCCGGATCAAAGATGGTCGTGTGAACAACTCCTACAACACTCCTATTTCGAAAATTTTCACTTTAAAATGCCCGAGGCTGAAATGGAAGAGTTCGAGAAGCTTAAGAAATACCGGGATCGTTCAAGAGTAAGCACAAATATGTCGATTAAAGATCCATTTATACCCACATGACAAACTGTAGTCGAGTTGAATGGTTCCACATATTCACCTCATATTTAACATGTGATAAAACAAAAAGAAATTTTCTAATCTATAAATATTTATATGTTCAACTTAAAAATATCGGATCGAAAAACAGTGCTTCCACCAAATTGAAACTGTCGCGACAATTAAAGTCGCCATTAAATTGTTAATGAATCAGAAATAATAATAAAACATAAAAAGAACGATTATAGGAAATAAATTCGAATATTTAACAAAATATCAAATAACAACATATCATTCTAATACTGTTATTACATTTTAGAATAGTAACTACAATCAAATGGTATTACCTCAACTTCCTAAGGCCGGTGCTTCAGTACATAGTCAAAATGAAAACCGGCCTAAAAGCTCCTCCATGCATCATCAGCAGGACTTTGATCACCTGCCTACTATTAAAGGTTGTAATTAAGCTCCTCTGTGATTGTAATATACTTATTTATGTATATATATACACGTATATATGTATATTTATTTATTTATTTAAAAGTTTATAAATATTCATTATAAATTAATAATTATTAATACTTTTTATTTGTACTCGCACGTTTGTCTTTGAGCTCGTATAGAGATTTTGTTCTATTAGCATGATTTCTATGTATACATATTTACTGTATGTACATTGTATGTACGTCTTAAAATAAAGTTTTGTACAAAACGATCACTTTATACCATTATATCCACAAAAAAGTATAACAAAAATATCTTAATAATTTATTATTGAGAAATTAAGCAAATTTTCTTGAGAATCCATAATAGACTGAAAGCTATTTTTTCATAAACTGTTGAAGTTTCTAGATTTATTAATGTTCTCACCTCAATGATGATATGTTATACTTTTTCTCAAAAACTTAGTTACAATATACTGTTTTCAATGACAAATACATTGTAAATCCACGCAGCATGAAATGACACAAAATTTATCAGCCAGTTACTATATAACGGTAAATGAAACATCTTTATAGGCAATACTCAATACATTTTGTAAACATTGTAGAATTTAGGAAATTTCCAGAGAATTGATAGTGCTTGGCTGATAAATAAAGCTGAGGATAAGCATGAAATCAATATTATGAATCAGGTACACCTTTACTTGTAATACAAATTCTTGAACTTCAGAATTTTGCAACTTAGGACATTTTGTAACACATTTCATGAATTTAGAATTCAGTGAATTTATTTTGCTTAAAGAAAACTTTAAGCTCTGTTTAACCAGAACACAATCCATTTATTTATTACATATAAAGATAACCATTTTATTTTACAATTATTGGAGAAATACCAACGACATAATATGGCAATAAATAATTGTATATATATACATACAATATGTATATACGATTTTATTTTTCCGTCCACATACTTTTTAAGTTTTTGCACAAATAATCATATATATTTATGTTATTTTTATTTTTATAATTCTTCGTATTGTATAAAAATGTACATATTTATAACTATTTATATTTAAATATTAGCAAATAAACAGTTTCATCACTAATATTACACTAGAAGTAAAATCTATTTGATGACTATTGTATGCAAGATATTATTGCTCTGTCTTCTTAAAATGTTCATACAAACGTACGAGAGGATGTTCATGCCTCTGTCCTGGTGGCACGTACTTGTGCTGTACCATGTACCAACAAACGTGCAAGCCCAAGAAACCAAAGGTGAATGTGGCTAACATAAAAGTACCACTCGTCATCTTCGCATGTATTTCTCACTCATGGACGTATGAATATACGAATATCCAAACTCTGTATTATGTCAAACGAGTTGTATATTAATTGCAATAATGCAATATTTTTCACAGAAAATGATGTTTGTAGTTCCAGACAATGTATACTGATAAATTATTTAATATAATGTACTTCAATGTTACTCACAAAAGCTATTATCAGTGTATGGTTACTATAATCAGAGAATATCGAAAATTTGTTTTTTAAAAAAACATCTATAAATTACTCATCTTTCTTCAAACCGTGTTTGGTTATATGGCCATAGAAATAGTAATGGTCAGGGTAAGCAACTCTTAAGATTTTACGTTTTACTGGTACTTTTATAACGCCACGAACGGAGTACCTCAGAACTAAATCTACTGAAGGAGCGATGGGTGAAAGGGATATTCATAGAGGGAAATTTGAATTTTGAGGGAAATGTAATTATTACATTCAATTACACCTGTGAAATATATAAATTAACACATGACTGTAATGTTCATAGAATTCACAATTTGAAGTTCCTGAATGATGTGACATAAAATTATTAACTATTAAACTTTTAAAAAAATGTTTAAAGGATACACATTGTTCACAAAGTAAACAAACTTTAAAATCGATTTCATCGAAAACGAAGCCCCGAATAAAAAAATGTTATACCAAATTTTTTTTTTATTTTTTCACGTAGGTAGAATCAGCCCCTGCTCAATTGTACTACCAATTTCAGCCTACTCTGTATACAGATAAATGGTTTTAGGTTATATTTTGATGCACTGTCGTATACAACATTAACTTCTCTATTACAATTATTACAAAGTTTCGGAAATAATATTGCATCAGTATTAACTGACATGTATGTATGTACCAAATACAGTTTACGCATTTAAAGCAATTTGAATATGGTCGCTTCTAATATTAATAAATAAAAAAAAACATTTCATTATACTGATGAACTTGGAACTCATTAAAATAAAGATCATAAATTATTTATATTTAAAAATAACATTTCGATATTTTTGTAATATATTAGTAAAATTAGGATTTTGGAGAGGTGAAAAATTTTGGTACTTCTGAGCAAATCAATCATGGAAAATGATATTTCTGCACTATCTGTGAATGATGATCCATTCCATGAGTATGGACCTTGTAAATCGTGTATCAAAGAATTACCTAATGCAGAATTATTAACTTTGGTTATAAAATGTACCAATTTTGCAGCAATAAAACACAAAGATCAAAGAAGGAAGGACCCAGAGAAAACACCATATATAAATCACCCTATAGGTTTGCAATTTTTTAAAGATTCTGCAATTCAACAATCAGTATAGAAGCGAAGAAAAATTAATTTTAATGTTAAGAAGTCTATGCATAGAAGAAAATAAAAAATATACAATGTTTTTCTAGGTGTTGCAAATATATTGATTCAAATTGGTAACATTCATGACCCAGTTGTAATTTTGGCAGCTCTATTACATGATACGGTAGAAGATACAGATACTACGTTCGAAGAGATAGAAAATGAATTTGGTAGCGAGGTTTGTAATATTGTTAAAGAAGTAACCGATGACAAGAACTTATCGAAAGCAAAGCGAAAAAGGTTACAAATTGAAAATGCTCCTAAACGAAGTCACAAAGCTAAATTGGTTACCTTGGCAGATAAATTGTATAACTTAAAAGATCTTCAGAGAGCAACGCCAGCTGGTTGGTCACCAGGAAGAGTAAAAGAATATTTTAAGGTAATTTGTGCAAAAATAAAACAGGTGTTGATATAAATTTGTATATTAACATGTTCACTGTTAGAATCTTTAATGATATAGCCAGGAGCCATTCCTAGTGGGAATACAAAAGGTGCTTCTGCACTTCAACAGTTAACCTCAAGAATAACCTTAAATTATGGTCCAAAAAATACATGTGACAGTAAACATGTTAATATATTAAAGTTATTAAATAAATATGCGTAAAATATTAATTGCAGTGGGCAAAAGCTGTAATAGATGGATGTCGTAAGACTAATTTTCAACTGGAAAAGGAACTAGATATAATTTACGCAAATCGAGTAGCTCAGGATAGAGAAACTTGTGGATGTAAACGAACACCAATGCCGAAATGTTCTTAATTCATTATTCAATAAATTTCAGAATGATTTAAAATATTGGAAAAAATAACAAAATATAATAAAAAAATAAAAAATAAGTGATATGATATATAATACTTAATAAAACAAAAAAAATACTAATGTCGATTTTTTTAATTATTTTTTCTGGAGTAATATTTGTAATATGCTACATTATAATTCTACTGATGTTTGTTGCCATGTTCTTGGTAGAACCATTGCATATGTTCTGCAACAGAGACGCACAAATGCTACATACTCTTTCTTTCGCTTAGCATGGCTCGTATTTCGTATTAGACTCTAGTAACTATAAATATATTATAGAATCAGCTGTGACTGAATAGTATGGACATATTGCAAACTGATTGGATAGAAATATTTCGGAGATACTTGTCCAAAGCTTGGGTAAACAAATTTACAGTACATACTTGCAACAGAACCGAGACAATGGGGCGCAATGACCTCGAACAAAGAGATTTAATAGAAATTGTATAAGTTAATATTTATGTATAATAAATAATACAAGTTGCAGACTAATTACAATTCTATAGTGAAGAAGAACATGTAGAGAAATAACAAATGAAATAATACTCATTAAATATGTATCTCCTTACTTTGTGTCGGACTTATGATACACTCCTGTCCTGAGACACAGCGAACCAATGAGATGTTGTCACAGTCGCCCGCAGTTACCAAATGGCGGACACCGGCGCCTAGAGGAAACTGCCCCCTCCACTTACACACATTAATTTCTTTCCTTACATGATCACAAACTTGATGCAATTTCCTCTAGGTATCGGTTTATCATCTGGTAATACTGAAATCACGTGACTTTGTTTATTTCCCGGATAAGCTTAAGTTTACTCTTTACTACTCATCACTAAAAAAGATATATATGAATTCCACTTTTTTATATATTATAATTGTTTAATTATTAGTTATGTACCATTTGGCTCGCAAAAAAGAGAAAAAGGACAATTCTCCTTCGCAATAGAATTCTTTAATATTTTTAAGCTAAAATAGGAAATAAATACATTATAATAAAAAGGCGGGAAATCTTTGTAGTAATGTTCAATAGTTACAGTTGACAAGAAGTGATCGTGAATTATAGTACATGCATTGATTTTGTGAATTATTCGTTTTATAATGTCAGTGAACATTTTAAAGTTTTTAAAAGTATTTTCTTTTATTGTAGTATATAATGTACATATAGTGTAAATATTATGTTATGGTATTGTAACTATGGCTGATGAAAAATTAATAAAGATGGTACAAAGTACTTTTACTCTGTACGGTCTTGTACTTTCAAGGTATATAAAATATTTTTATATTTACGTAAATAACTTTTATTTTTGAATCTGTCATGACTTTTTTTTTATTTAGGAAACTCAGTGTTTCACTTGCTAAGGAACTTTTAAATATAGAAGAAGACGAACGAAAAACTTGGCTTACACAGATCGTGGAACAAGTTTTATTACAAAATTTAAGCGATCCACATATTACAGTGGAACATCTTAAGTTAGCAATAGAAGAATGTATAAGACCCGATACGTTGAAAAATACAGAAACAGTATTGAATGTAATAAATGCATTTGATATACCAAAAATTAAATATCAGTTATCTGAGAAAAAGTTTATCTTGACAACTGTAGCACCAGATTTATATTCTGAAGCAGCATACAAATCTAAAGTATTTGAAGATCGGTTTCAATTACTTTGGTATAGAACTTTGAAGCATGAATTGTTTATTGCTCCTAAGCTTGGGGAGAAGAAAGAACATTGGATTGAATTAGTACCTATTGAATATTTACTAAGCGAAAGTAGAAAAGGATATGTTTACATAATGGGTCTTTTAAATCAATTAACAGAGGGCCAATATTATTTGGAAGACCCAGGAGGAGCCATTAAAATTGATTTGCAACAAGCAATATCCTTTAAGAGACTTAAAAATATAAATTTTAAATATTATTTTTATACACGTAATACTAAGAAATATTTTTCTCCTTGACAGTTGTATACGATTTTCAGGATGGTTTAATCATGGAAGCTTCTATAGTAATAGCTAGTGGGAATTATAGGGATGGTATCTTATATGTGGAAGATATAGGTTTTCCCCCAGCAGAATCGTCTATTAATGCGCGTGTAGAGTTCGGTAATGCCAACACATTCGGTGGATCAAACGATCTCTCTTTAAAGCTATCAGAAAAACTAAAACATATTGAAACATCTAACAAAGATGGAATGATTGTCTTTGTATCTGAAATGTGGTTGGACGATGCAATTGTTTTACGCAAATTTAGGACTATGTTGGAAGGATATTCCGCGTGTCCACCTATTGCTTTTGTATTATGTGGTCATTTCTTGAGCTTCCCAGCAAATGTAACAAGCATACAGAAATTAAAAGACGGACTTAAAGATCTAGCTAATTTAATAATGCAATATCCGGACATAAAAGAATCGTCCAAATTCATTTTCGTACCTGCACTCGAAGATGTGGGATCACCGAAAATTCTGCCACGGTCACCACTTCCAAAGAATCTTACAGCAGATTTTAGAAGAGATATACCTGGTGCAGTATTTACTACTAATCCATGCAGAATTCAATATTGTACGAAGGAAATTGTAGTGCTAAGGGAGGACATTTTAACAAAAATGTGTAGAAATACACTTCACTTCCCTAGAGAAGGAAATATCTATGATCATGTAAGCCTCATTGTATTGATGTTTGTGTATACTCATTGTAAAAAATTTGTAATATTTGATTTTCGTGTAATTTTTTAGTATGCCAAATCAATTATTTGCCAGTCTCATTTGACTCCTTTAAATCTTTCCATAACCCCCGTATATTGGAAACACGACCACGCTTTACAAATATATCCAACGCCAGATATAATCGTAGCTGCGGACAAATTTGAAGCGTACGCAACTACTTATTCGGATTGTCACGTGATCAATCCCGGACTATTTCCGAAGAATGATCATTCGTTTAAAGTGTATGTTCCTGCCTTAGATTTAATCGAGCATTGTGCTATCCCCAAAGATATGGATGGTATTTGATTCTGAATAATACGTTTTAAGTTAAAAAGCCAAATAAAATAATTGTTTTTCATAAAAAAAATTTGTTCTTATAATTCACAACACCTTCCACTTTTGTATGAACAATTACATACCAATTTTGTACAATATTTATTTTCACATCACAATTTCCATCAGTTTTACAATACTTTGAAAATGCTTCTTCAGTTCATAACTTAATTCACAACAATCTTCACTACGAAATATAAGAGCACATTAAATCAAGTCCAACTATTGAAAATAACTTAATCTCTTGTTCAGGATACTGTGTGATTTGTTGGCCCTTTGTGTCCAATAATACAATAAAAGAGAATTGAAGTATAACTTACTAATATAATATTCTTATGATTGAATAAGTTTAATAGTATCAACATAATACACCTCAGAAAAATTCAACACTCTTCTTACTTCTCTCTCTCTCTCTCAGATTGACTAACAAATTTGTATATTAGACTTTCTATGCGAGACACAGGAAGTACGCATTTATTTTATTCCTTTTTTCCTTATCGATTTATATAAATAGATACATATAATAGTAAACACAGTGTTTCTACATCTTCGTAATGTACATAACAATATTACAGGTACAGACTGGGCCCCGGCATATCTCAATTTTCTACACTGGAAGCATAAGTCAATTACTGGCCATTCAATCAAACATCAGTGTTAGGATTATAATTTGTAGAACAATGTGTAACATACGAGATGCAATAATAAATCGTGAGAGTTTCGCGAGCATTGCATTTTATATTAATAACGAGTTCAATTGCTATTAACAATTCCAGCTATACACAAATTAAAGGAACAAATGTATTTAAAATATAATAATTATGACATAGTTTCAAAAATTGTTACAAATAGAAACATTATTTTATTATTCAAATCACTTTCTTTTACTTGCTCTCATATACATTCTCTCTCTCTTTCTCTTTCACGCACTCTCATCCTATGCATATTCACATCCTCTGTACACTATGCATTTTAAATTTACAGTAACTGTATGAATTACGAATCGACGTAAAAGTTCTTCATGTTCGAACTATTAGTAGCTAAAAAAAATATTGTGTCGATAACGAACAAACTTTCAATCGAGTGGCAAGCGAATGCTACAATTTTACTCCCCAAAAGTTCAGTTAGAGTATGAGCATAAAGTGTTAGAAAAAACGCAGATTAATAACTATATATATATAACTGTGAACTGTAAGAGCTATTGCGCACTTACCCATTTGAATATATTACAGTGCCGCATGTAAAAAAAAAAGACAAAAAAAAAAAAAGAAAGAAAAAACGCGCATACATGTATTGTACATCCTTAAACTTTTGTATAACTTCGATCTTAGTATCTCCTGTAATCGACTATATCTTAAGACATAATAATACATAATATTTTATGTACCAATGCATGTAATTATGTACAGGTGTATAAGTTTAGCTAATAGAGTTACGATTTCAGTCGACGGACGGTGTGACAATCCTTCACACTCCATATCTCACGAGCTGTCTTTCTTCGCGTGTAATTCCCCTGAAAATCAGGTTAATAAAAAAATTTATTTTTTAATTACAATCAAAGATGTGTGTGGGATCCTGAAAATGCCCGGGAGGATTCTCGTCACTATTCAAAAGAGTCTGCAGAATGGTCGAAAAAAAATATTACAAATTTTTTAAATTGTAAAAGACGGTGTGAAAATCTTTTATCTCAAATTTTCGTAAATCCTCTGGAATATCTTCGGGATTACGGATATTTTTGGAATCCCGTCTCATCTCGAGCATCTGGACCCCGCACATTCCTAATTACAACGACCAAAATAATTGGAAGACTGCCTACTTAACTCTTTGGGGCACACTGGGATTAAAAGTGTCCCACCTTTTTGATGCACTGTAATGCATAGGTTTACATTTCGTCTTATTTAGATAAAGCAGTTGGTAATATCTTCAACAAATGTTACAAATCTATTCACTTGTGTTGGTAACATTATTATCTGAAATCCTGTGCCGCAAAGAGTTAAATGGTTTCATTGTTTAGCAGTAAGTTAATGAATACTATTATAAGATCTGTGTGGTGTGCAATGTATCAATTTAATTGATACGCATAAAAGATTCAAAAGTTGTTTCCAATAAAAGCTGAAGGGTTTCGATAAGGATGTTATACATATAGTTAACGTGATTTCTTTAGAACTAGAATATAAAAAAAATACTGCATCTTTTTCACGTACAGCATTGTAACTTCAGATAAGAACAAAGAAGAAAAGAGACCTTATATTACTTAACGACATACATGTCATCTTTACATTTAATGAAATACATACCGAATAGTAATTTTTAATTAATTTTTAACGTCGATACTTGAATGGATGTCCAGTTGACTTCAGCCAGTTGACAGATGACTTCAGCCTGGTTACAAAGGTATTGTACTTGTTTAAAAATATTAAATTAATTGGCAAAACAATTTAGCATAAGTCATAATTGATAAAGCAATTGTTCTTGTTTTTCTTGAAGCTACAATGACACGTGAAAAGAAGTACATGGCAACTTTAAAAAGAAATAAAGTTATCTTTGAGTCACTATGGTCGAAACAAAATAAACTAGCCGCTCAAAACTACTGTGGGTTTATCCCCACCATACCGTTTGGCTACGCCTTCAACCTTATCTTTCGTCTTTTTACGAAAATTTACAGACACACATTATTTGTCTGTCAAACAGAGAGGCAAGGCAAAAAGGTGACTCGCTATACACATATGTCCAAAAAATAACCTTGATCAGTAAATTGATTTTGTTCGCTACGTAATGTCTCGTTCGAAACGGTTCAACTTTTATTTAAAATATTTTTCGATTTTCGATAATGTGTATGTGAGAAAATTGTAACGAGACATCTAGTATTTCTTTTAGCTCAAACGTTTGATTAATTCCCTAGAATAATTAAGAAACATGATTCTCTAGTTACTTTGAGAAATACGAATAAATGTCTATTGAAGTGGAAGGACGACCAGTATTGTGTTACAGCTTTGTTGTAAGTTAAAATTAAAACAAAATTTTGATACTTCTTTTTTGACAATGTCAAGTTTAATTTGTTTCGTATCTTGATTATAACTAGTATACTCACTTTCCCTTTGATATCTTCGGCAAGCTTGGTTCCTTTCTTCGGCATCGAAGTACCACAGAGTGATCGCATATCTGGTTTCGTATGCTGGCTGTACCTCGTGCGGATTTCTCCTGTCGGACCAAAAGAACAATATTCTATCGAAAAGGGGCTCGATATCTGCTACTTGATCTCGCCAGCCTTCTGGAAATATCCTCAAGAGGCCACCGTTTTTCTATAATCACAAAAATTGTGCATAAATGTAACAAATGTTCAGGAATCATCGCATGAAATAATAGTATAGAGGTTCTTTTCCACTGGAAATGTAATATATTTAATACAAACAGTACTACCTTTCTTTTTTCATTCTTCAAAGCTTGGCACTTGAAGAGTTAACTTCGTAATTTTATTATAATAATAATGAAACTTTGATCTATTGGTTGGTAAACGTAAATACATAATTGTGAACCGCACTGTCGTGTACCATAGTTAAGATTACATTTATAAATGACAGAGTATGTTTTTTGTGTAAACGGAAACATTATCCAGTAGGACGAATGTATACATGCGAGGTAAAAGCGTACATGGAACGGCTCACGTAGGCCATGACCGCTCCTCGTGCCCTCGTAAGTTGCCCTTCGTTCAAATAAACCGAGTTTTGAAATTCACACGTTTACGAGAAGCAGTATGTATATACAGAGTGGCTCGTTTAAATCGACCCACTCGAATGTCTTCTAAACTGTCGACGATGGTAAAAATGTTTCTAGATAAAACTTAAATGGGTTCAAAGGGCACAAAATCTGATGTAAGTTTTTCTAAGTGGATACGTAGAAGGTATATGAAAGTCAATTATGTTTTCTTAAATATAATTCTTAATTCCCTAGATAGAAGTACTACGACACTTATAATGAAAAATCATTAGTTTAGAAGATACATTAAAAACATTCAAACGAGTGTATATATTAGTTACTTTTTAATTATTTTAGCGGCATTTATTTACTATATCATGGCTTATGATAAATAATTACGCAAATTAAATGCATAAGTATAAAATACAAGGTACATAGTTTGGTGCAGTATAGTTTCTAAGCATCCTAATTAAAACACAGAAAACTAAAAAGAAATTATTTTTTCTGAATTTAAAAATTAAACAGGTTAAAATGAAAAAATAAAGATTCAAATGACGGTTGTGGTGTAGGACAAATAAATATGAACAAAGCAAATACGATGAAACGACGCAAGATATAGTACATTAGTAGCAAAGTGGAGGAATAAGTTATACAGGGTGTTCGGCCACATCTGGGAAAATTTTTAATGGGAGATTCTAGAGACCAAAATAAGACGAAAATCAAGAATACCAATTTGTTAATGAAGGCTTCGTTAAAAAGTTATTAACATTTAAAGTTCTGCCTGTAGAATGGGAATCTGAGAACAGCTGCGTGCGCACGATAGTGGTTCTCAATCATAGAATTGTAAGGCTGTCGATACGTCAGTAAGTAGAGTTTCTCATGCTGAGTGAGAACCACTGTCACGTGTACGCAGCTGTTCTCAGATTGCCGTTCTACAGGCGGAACTTTAAATGTTAATAACTTTTTAACGAAGCCTCGATCAACAAATTGACATTCTTGATTTTCGTCTTATTTTGGCCTCTAGAATCTCTCATTAAAATTTTTCGTGACAAATTAACTCTTCTCTCTCGATGCAACATGATTTTCAAATTACCAGTAACTATTTTTTTAACTACCTTGTGAAAAAAATAATAAAAAAAAATAGAAGCTTGAATTTTTCATATCGTATCTAAAAAGACATAATAGCGAAACGGGACGATTAAATATATTTGTACCTTGATATCCCAATCTCGATTAAGATAGTATATAGCAGTGATGCATCGTCCATCTCGATTAGGATTGTCCACATGTTTCACGTAATGCGAACCGTGACCAGGATAACAAGCCACCATCGCCTGAAAAATAATGTACCGTGTTATATTAATCGGTGAAATTTAATGTCTTATTGTAAATGCGATTTTAAGTCGGTTATCGGGTAATTACCCAAAAATTAGCAAATTAGATTTTCAGGACAATTCGTTAATTGTCTAAAATGAAGAAGATATAGCAACATATGCACACACGGGAGCATTGAGAGTTTATATAAAAATAGGTTTACAGTCGGTTAGTTTCCAGGGCACAGTGGCGTACAGTTGTTTGCAATTATCGCTAAAATCTCCAGAAATTCTTACAATTGTTTATTTATATTAATAGCAAAAAACAACATCCCTATATCTTTCATACGAAGCGATTATAAACTTCTCAGTTTGTATTATATTCTTTTTTATATTTAAGGTGAAACAACTTGTTTACGACATACGAACGCTAGTCTATTAAATGGTTTATCAATGGAGGACACTTTCGTGTTTAATTAAGATCAAGATTGGTAAAGATAAGGTTTCGAAGGTGCAATGAAATAATATCGCAAATTATAATCCTATATTATCAGAAGTTAAATAGACCGATAGTGTAAGTATTTATAATATCAGTACATCGTATATCTCTATCTAATATATCTGAGAATGACGTATGATTGAACAATTCGATAGAAGCAATATCCTAAATTTATATGTATTGTACAATTGTGTAATACATAATGTATACAAGGTGTTTGGCCACCCCTGGGAAAAATTTTAATGGGAGATTCTAGAAGCCAAGATAAGACGAAAATCAAGAATACCAATTTGTTGATGGAGGCTTTGATAAAAAGTTATTAACGTTTAAAGTTCCGCTTGTACTGAATTTTTTTCTCGAAAATGCGCAGGAATTCGGGGGTATGACTGTTCACCAAAAATGATTGTAATTGACCCCCGAAACCGAAAATAATTTTTCCAGAACGATTTCAAATTTTTGACTTAAATTGTTAATAACTTTTTAACGAAGCCTTCATTAACAAATTGATATTCTTGATTTTCGTCTTATTTTGGCCTCTAGAATTCCCCATTAAAATTTTTTACAGGGGTGGCCGAACACCCTGTATACAGTAATTTTGTTTATTAATAATATTTTATATTTTACGTAATTAGATAAGAAACTGTAACATCTAATTCCAATCTATACTAGTAAACGAACTGCTGGTAAAACGATATTATTGAAATTATTTCGGATAACATACGCATTGTTTGGTGTTCGTTATTATATGATTTATATTTTTATAATTATTTCGCTTTCCTTAGCGGATGTTAACGAGTATAACATATTCCGTATCTGTAAGTCCAGACACGATAATTAGCAGAGAATATATTGCGAATATATCAGTTGTGGAGGTATCGAACTGAATTCCTATTATTAGATATGATTGCATGCAAAACCCGGAGATAATATCATGTACGAGCTGTGACTCATACGGTTTACCCGTTACAGCGAATAAGAGTCTTGTTTTGATTTAATGCTAGGTCGGCCGTTGTCTTGCGTTATGTCGCGGTGAGTAACTCTTCAGATCATCGACATTTCCATAGCTCTTATTTACCATTGTCGCACAAATTGTAACATTTTTATACCTTTAACGCGACAATTACCGTTCCATGCGTGAAATCAAGCTATTTAGTCAGAAATTCCGTTTTTCATTCATTAAAGGACAAGACCACTGTACAAACCTGAAATAAAGCGTTTTTTTTTTTTTTGGATGGATGGAAAAGTAAGAGGATAATAATATTCAAGAATGTTATTAACCGTGTCATTAAGTGTTAACAATATTTATTCAAAAATAGTGCAAAATGACGACGCTGGAGCCACTCTCGCGAGGCGTGTTTTGAATTTGGGGCGCTCTGCGGCACGCAGTGTAACTAACACAAATTTGTAATCTGGAGAAAAACAAAAACTTTCTCTTAATCTACATGAGTATAGCTAGAGAAATACGTAGATCTTCGATAAATTAATTTTAACGTTATTTATTGACAAGCGATTGCCCCATTTTTTGTATAAAATTGAACTTTTTACTTCAAATGCTCGCCAATCACACAAAAATTAATATTTCAAAAATCCCCTATGTATTTCTCTAACTATACTCATGTAGATTAAGAGAAAGTTTTTTGTTTTTTTTTTTCAGATACAAATCCAAAACACGCCTCGCGAAAATGGCTCCAGCGTCGTCATTTTACACTATTTTTGAATAAATATTTTTTTTTTAACACTTAACGACATGGTTAATAACATTCTTAAATATTCTTATTCTCTTACTTTTCCATCTATCTAAAAAAAAATCGTAAAAGAACGCTTTATTTTAGGTTTTTACAGTGGTCTCACCCCTTAAATAAAATCAGGGAAAAGTAGAAGACTATTTATACGAACTACACCATTTTTAAAAAATAAAAAATAAGTTACCAAGTAAATAGCTTTTGGTAATCGATAATAACAGGTATAATTGAAAGATTAAACGTCGATCGATCATGTCAATATTTATAATTCATTCTCCCGAAGCAATGTTTACATTAAAAATTTTTAGAAACAAGTCGTGTCTTTTGTATTATTGTAAATATAAAATAAGATACGGGAAAGAGTCGAATTTTTAGGGCGTTTTAAAAATATCTATTTAAAAATGGCGTTTTAAAAATGATTTATGACGTGTACGTAACCAAAGCATTAGTAACTAATTTAATTAAGGAATTTAGTTACAGATTCGTATGTCTTTCCAAATAATAAGGTACAATCAAGTCATAAATTTAAAGTGATAATTGTGGCACCCTAAATGGTCGATTTTACGACTAGGATAATCACGTTGAAGCTCGTTAATGGTTTCCTTTATGACACCTGAGGTTTTGTGTTTAGTGTGAAAATCCCTAGGTTGCCAGATCTACAGCTAGTACTCGGACACCTGGCATTAGAGTTGTTGAAGCAACTTGAAAATGCAATTTGATCTGAGCTTACGAGAAGTCGCACCTGTGGGGGTGTCGATTTTATTCAAACTGTTTTTGATGATTCTAAAGAAAAATAGGCAGAAACATATGTGAGTTTTTCTGCCAATTCTCATTATTTACAAAGATATTTAACATTTAATTGGTTGATTCGAAGGCTTTTGAATGCGTGTTCAGGTTGTTAGACGATCACAGTGTATGACTGAGTGTTCGAGAACATCCTCACCACCATGTTCGCAGTAGAGATGGCGTGCAAAATCACTAACAGTGATTTATCACAGTGATCACAAAATTACGATCACGTTCGTGATTAAACTCCATTCACGGTGATCCGAAAGATGGCGTTTCAGTAGCGGTTCACGTTAACTGTGATCGTTAGTGTTCCGCTAACTCCCCTTAGCGGAAATTCAAAGAATTACAAATGCGCCAAATTTAAATTGCATAGTAACGTAGTCTAAGCAATGAAAAACGCTGGGTTATTATTTAAAAATAACAACATAGATAATTTTAATGGTTTTAAATTAGTCCAGCGTTTGAAAATATCCTTTCGCCAATTCATCTAATATTTCCTACTTTGCATATTAAAATATATGGTAGGTTTTTACTCATAATCGCTGCTTTAGCTATAATTGGCTCTTCTAATAATATAAATCTATCATGTGATATACTCATACGCAAACACAATGATTTTAACTAAATTTTTTTTATATTCTGTTATTCTTACGTTATTATAAATATATTTATTATGTGCTTAATCAAACCTTGCTGAACTGCTTTTATAATAATATTAATCATAAAGTTATAACATAAGTGGCATGTATTTAAATTTAATTTTTAACATTATTCATAGTAAGAAATAAGTTAGAATTTAAAATTACAAACAGGTTAGTTTTGCGTATACATTACTTTGTTGAAAAATTTTACGAACATTTATGAAACGAATGTTGAAACAATGAGAAATAAAACTTATATTTACATTTATTTATCACTTTTAATTTTTCCTTTTCGTTCTCCTAATAAGAAAATTATGTTGCCATTGTTTTTAGACCATATTATAATAGAATACATATACAATCTAAGGACATATGTAATTCGTGAAAGGTGAAAAGAACGCTCCCCACCAATCAAAAGCGATCACGAAGAATCACGAATCACTGTGAAAAATCACCATGATTGGGAATGAACGTGATCGAACCACGAGTGATTCAACAGCAGCAATTCACGCCATCTCTAGTTCGCAGAGACTCGGTTTACGGGTAATTTAAAAGACTAAACCGAACACGAGGGATGAAAGAAGGAATGTGACGCGTTGTTACAACTCCACGTGACGTTTGGTCAATGAAAACAAAGAAACTAGAATAGAAAGTCTGCTGTTCCTTTCCATTACGTGATGCACCTCACGGAGGATAGCAACGTGCCTGAAGTTCCATTCAGCATTACTGAACACGTACACAGTAACACTGAATGTGGTTAGCTCGAGTGCACACAGGGTGTGTCTGAAACAAGTATCTAAAAGAAACGTATCCTCTTCATCGTAAGAGTAAAAAAGAGTCGTACGAACATGGGATCTACAATAATTCCATAAATATAATTCTTCTCTATAATTTTTTTCTTTTTTCAATAAATAAAGATGCAGCCCTTGCATTAGTAATTATGTATATTAGAAACCACCAATGTCAACTCTAAAGTTCGTCGAAGAGGAAAGGTTGCTTTTCGACACGTTTGCATGTTTTTCAAGGGTTGATTTCACCCTCTTGAACCTCAAATTGCGCTCGTTGCACACAATTTTTCGCAATTTCGTGAATCTTCAGGATCACGTTGCATGTTACATATACGTATCGAAGTATTTGATCGTGTTTTTTTTAAATATATATTCACTGTTCAAAGATACAGAAGGCACTTTGTTATAAACGTAGGATGGTTAGACTTTGTCGTTCAATTTAATATTACAATTGACTTGTATGATCCACTTGTGTCTTGAATAACGAGAAATACTCGCAATGGACATAGTGCAACGAAATGGTGAACGTGTTCACCAAGATTTAGCTAGAGATGTTCAAAAT